GACTCACCTAACGTGTTTTGCTGTTTACTGTCTCTTCCAGTAAGCACTGTATTTTCTTTCCTTTCCCCTACCGTTAGCAGGAAAATAGACATCAGTTTATAGTTCTGAAATTGGCTACATTTTTTTTTAAAGCTTATTGTGCTATCAGCTTCAAGAATAAAAATTTCTCTTTACATTTTACACTGAGAAAATATTCTTGATTTATTTTGGGGGGGGCCCCTCAATATTGAAGACAAAGAAATGGCACAATTTTATTTTCTACACTCATCAGCAACCCAATGGGAAGGGTCTTAGGCTTTAGACCCTATACCTTATTTTTAAAATCATTCAGACTGCATATTATTCTAAGAATCAGCATGTGCATTTTGGACTTCACTACAATGACAATGTGAAGTCCTGACTATGTTTAAATTACTTCTATTAATAATCCTGTTAACATGCAACCTCATTCTTCTTGGACTTACTACATCAAAATCCCAAGACCCAGAAAGCTCCAAAATCTACATTTCCCCTCTTAAACTTGATGCCAAAAAATAATTTAGCAGTAATACCTGTGAAGCTATTTATAGTCTTAGTTGATCCCATTTTAGTGAATATATTTTACTAAAGTGCCAATGTAGTAACTAGGCATGTTAACAAATACAGAACCTATGTACCATATTTCCATTCTAAAATGCGAATACTCTGTTAAAGCACAGCTAAGTGTAGGTTAATATCCTCTATTGATATACATAACATAATAATACTGGGTTGGCCAAAAAGTCCATTTAGTTTTTTTCCATAACTAAAGTTTATGGAAAACTTTAAGTTTTCCATAAAAGACACATTTTTCATTTTCACAAATAACAATTGATTTGGATATTTTGAGTATGTTGGCTATCTCCTGCTATTGCCTTCTAGTGGGTAGAGGCCAGGGGTGCTGCTAAACATCTTCCAATGCATAAGACAGCTCCCAGCAAAGAATTATTTGGCCAAAATGTCAGTACTACCAAGAACTTTGCGAACCACTTTTGACACATTTGATCGGTCAACAGCACTTTCTCCATACACTGCACAAAGCTTTTTTTGCATTTCAGTTGTATTTTTACCTTTCTTGAATAAAGAAGATGTCAAAAATGTTCTGTATTTTCTTCCATCTTCAATTAAAATGGATGCACAAAAATGCATCAATTTTGGTAATTTTTTTAAAATGAACACTACTACAACACAATACAATCTAACAAAATTGTTTGGAATGAAGTTAAAGACAACTAAGCACTATCAGAGCCATTGTATGGAAAAATTAAAAGAACTTTTTGGCCAACCCAATGTAAAATATAAATACACTTTCTAGCAGTGTCTGCTGAGAGCTTAGTTGCAATGATGCCCTGGTAGCAGAGATCAACTAGCACACCCAGAGCCGGGACTTCAGTTTTGGGTATCACTCTCCACTAAAAGGGACAGGGCTCCTTAGAGTGTGACAGACTCCCAGGCTAAGCCAGGGATAATAAGAGACAAGTCTGGTGGTACCAGAAAGTAAGGAAGTGTCCCCTGAAAACAGCAGGAAGGGACTTGTCAAAAGGACACAAGAATCCAACCAAAATTGCTCCCGGTGGCCAAAGCTGGAACAATTTTAGCATCAAAATAAATACTGATAATATTAATTATAATATAATATTAATTATAATAACCTAAAGGATAAAATAAATACTTTTGTATCCATATTGATATAACTGAATAAATAAATGGGAGGAAAAGGACAGCTTTTCCTTACAGGAGAATTCTAATTAATAAATGTGTAAGAAATGAAGGAAACGGAAAATCACCTTTAGAATACCACAGTAATAATACCACAGACAAATCCACCCTTTAGTGTTGACTTAGTGAGAGGCTGAAGGAGAAACAAGGTATCTGCACAACATGTGGGAATGGATTAAACTTGCCCAAGGTAATGTATAGCCTTCACTCCAGGTTCCTGGGAATGAATCTCATGGTCCTTGGAACGTCCTTTCTGCTAGGTGTGCTTGTTTATCTGGGGGCCCTGAGCCACTCCAGATGGTCTAACAGTGTGAGTTATGGTGGAGGCCTTGGGGCACTGAAGAACAGCTGTAGAGCAAGACTCAGGTGAATTCCCCTGGCTGGCAATACCCTATGTGCTGACACAGTGGGAAAAGTTAGCACTGCCCACAACTCCAAGGAGATGTCAACTGGAAGCTTTACTCTAGGAACTGTCCTACACCCTGCCCTATGCCCCTATTTCCTTGGCTGACTTTATCCTGTGTTCTTTCACTGCAATAAACCCTAACTGTGAGTTCTGAGCCCTTCTAGAAAATTACGGAACCTAAGAGTGGCCTTGCAGCTTGTTCAACTTGCAGTAGGGTATGAGAAATGAGGGTGATCTTACAGACCCTTGAGATCTGCACACCATCTCAAAGTATCTACCTCAAAATAAATATTAATTACAAGGGTAAATGGTAACTTCACAATGGGAAAACCTGGCAGGTAATACCTTAACCCAGTGATCAAGGTTAGTATCATCTATTATATGTTGATTATATGTACTTTCATATGATGCAATGAGGACACCTCACTTTGGCTTCAAAAGGTCCATAACTTCAGTCAAATCAAAAGAAAGCATCAGACCCAATGGAGGGACATTCCAGACTACAAGATTCAGCACTCTTCACAGGCACCATGAAATGCAAGGAAGGGTTGAGGAAAACAGACAGACTGGAGGAGGCTAAGGTATCATGACAAACAAATGCAATGCAGGATCCCAAAAGGGATCTTGGAACAGAAAAGACACTAGTGGGAAAACTGGTCAAATCCAAATAAAGCCTGCAGTCCATGTAATGGAATGACAGCCATGATCATGAGTTAGGTACACACACTGTGATCATGGGATATGTTAATATGAGGGGAGGCTGGGTGAAGGACACCACAGATGGAGGACACAAATAGGTGACAATACATGTGGAATATTGCCAACAAGGAAAGCATTTAACAGCAGGGGTGGGGGTGGGGTGGAAACACAGCTAGTCCCAAGGGTTTTGGAAAAGGAACTGTGGGCCTACATTTTCATTCCTCTATCTCTCAGCTGGTTATACTACTTCAAGAGGACTTTTCAAGGATGGTACATGGATGGCACTTACAGGAAAGTTCTTCTGCTTTCAACATATGAAGCCTGAACACTGGGCAGGTTTCAGATTTGTTTCCCATAAAAATCTGTAAAATGTTTATCAACGAGTGCATAAAAAATTTTGACCACTACTGGAAGGTGCTAAGAAACTAACTCATTCTTTTGCAAGGAATGATAGAATATCATTTTTCTGAAACCCCTAATCAATCCAGTCACTACTGGTAATCAATGGCTGCTAACAATGCAGGACAGACATCAGGGACCCCTGGAAGAGCCTCACACCACCTGCAAAACAGTTTTGCTAACCCCTGCCTCCAACAATCCAATTTCAATCAAATCGAGCCTATAGATGTAATTACTAATTTATAGGAAACATAGAAGACAGGAACATGTTCAACTACACCACAGTGACACAATCAGCAAAATCCACACTGGCCAGGTTCTCTAACAAACACACAGAAGAGAGATGGAAGGAGAAGCCTACGGATGTAAAAGAAACTTAAGAAATGTGTCAACCCATAGTCATAAATGAGCCTTATTGGGATACTGATTCAAACAGTTACAAAAAACATTTATGGGATTTGAAACAATCAAAATTCGAACACTTGCTACATATTGACATTAAGAAAATGGTGTTAATTTTTAATGAAGTAATGCTAGTATAATTAATATGTACCTATGTATTTTCAATGTCCCGATTTTTAAAAAACAATGCTGAGATATTAAAAAAACAATAATATAAAACCACATCTACAGATGCAACTCCAAAGCAATGCAATGGATATAACATGTGCTATATACCTGAATGTTCATAGTATTTTTTTCTTCCTTCAAGCTGAGATTACTATCAGGTTAAATAAAGGCATTTGGTTTCCTTCATCAACTTTGCATAATATGTGCTGAATTTCATTCTATAGATCACCAGCACCACACTTTCTTTTATTATTACCGTCTCTAAAAGTCCTATCTGGGCATTCTGTGAACTGTAGAGGCAAGCCTTCCTCAGTCACAATGAGCACTGACATGTACAACATTCCTTATAGGGCAGTATTTGCGTTAAGAACTGATCAACAGAAAAAAAGGAGTTAATATTATTATTTTAAAGAAAAAGCCCTACACAATTACGAACAGAAAGATACTAAAATTGGTAATCCTCCATACCCTCTGAAATTTTAAAAACACATTTTAGATAAATATAAAAGGCAAATAAAATGTACAAAATAACATTAAAAATGATTCAATGTTACCTTTACAAAAGAATTTACCGTAGTGTCCTGTAAACACTGTGTCCCATTATTCCATTTTCAGGATGGATGGATGGACAGACACATAAGGCCATAAATTAGCAGGTCTTGCTGTATCTACTTAGTGTTTTTTAAAAAATCAAAAAAGTTGCTAACATTTTAAAATTATATTTCAACATTACTCTGAACTAGGTACCCATAATGCCTCATGTCACCTAAGGGCTGGCTCTGCGGACAGCAGCAGCTGTCATCAGGGTCTTCCCAAAAGCCAAGCTCAAGGGTCAGCAGCCATTTATCATCAGATTTCCACCTCTACTTTTCTGACTCCTGGTCTCCTTTGCTCTCTACCTTGCAGCCTACCAGGTAACAAACACTGAAATTTGCAATCACTGACTTTCACTCAGCTTTTTTTTTTAGTTAAATAAAACATGTCCACACTGATGGTAGGAATTTTGTAACTTTTTTTCTTTAAATTCATATAAAAACTAAGGAGTTTATAAAAGGGCATTCTGAACATAAAAGTAACACAAAGAACATAAAAAAATACCCATTCGATGTCTTTCTTCTGTCCCTATTTAAGCCCCAAGCTAACTATCAGAACCCTCACTCCCCCAGCACTGCAGCACCCACAGCCTCACCTGCATTGCTCCCAGTTCCTTTCTGCTTTTTTTTCTTGACTAGTTGAATGGCTCGGGAATCAGTTCTTGCTGAGCCCCCACTTTCCTGAGATCAAAGAAAAGTGTGTCAGTCACTTGACCCAAACAGCAAAGGGAGGGTAGCACGGGAACTACCGAAATGTAATAAGCCTGCTTCCTGAACAGGGTGGAGTCCAATACTCTTTGAGAATCTCCAGCAAAGGCTCACTGAGAATCACATACTACATACAATTATAGCGATAGCTAAACGAAATCAGAGTTGGAACCATATACATAATTTTATTACCCAGAGATTCAAAGTTTATTCCTCCAAAGTCTAAAACATTAAAATATTTTATACAGAAACTGTTAAAAAATGAATTACATACTTCTCTGCTGTCTGAAACAAATAATCAGTCTTCCCTCAATGATTCAGGATTAATTTACTGCAGCACTTCCCAACATTTTTCAGAGCATGCCACATAATACTTATACGACAGACCTGTGGAGGTCCTATTTCATATGCCCACTGCAGAGGCCACGCTGGTGGCAGGTGCTCAACTCCAGTGTCTTACAGACCAAAACAATAATTGGTTATGAATTCAGGAAGTTTACTGAGGGAGTCAAATGGTATTACAGCATTTAAATAAGACTTCAACTGAATTTGTGAATGTTTTATAACAAATATATTTTAATACTTATCACTGCAAAAAGAAAAAGAACCACCCTAAACAGCTCATGGCATACCTGTAACCCATTCACCACACACCATCTGTGCTCAGAAAATCGAGGCAGCCCAACGTCACTCAGCTAGCGAGAAAATGAACAAGGAGTCAGGATCAAGGTCATGGTGGCTCCTCCTGCCTGCACCCACAGTTAGGCCTCTGATGATGCAATGGCACCAGAGAACTACTGTTTCCCAAGGCACCCAGGCCCTGCACTCAGGCAGTGACACACCACAAATCTGAGCCTCAGCCATGCTCCCCTTCAGGCCCAGGCACCTGCACACCTGGCAAGTGCTGCAGCTGCCAAAGCAGAGATTAGCACATATAGAGATGCCTCACAACAAACAAGACACCAGAAGAGGCTAGACAGAGACAGAGCTTCTCTCTAAGGCTTAAAAGCTGGCTCCATGGTGGATGAGTTATCACGTCCCTCAAAATTGATCCTAATTCATCAAAGAATTAAACTTATTTTAGGAGTTATGGTAAGATTTAACATTTTGATCAATATCACTATCAAATTTAACCTGTGCCACAAAGGAAAAAACCTATTTAATCATTCCCACCTGAACCTGATGAAAAAAATCAAATCAGGTTTCTCCATGAATCTTTAATTATTTTTAAATTATATTAAATGTAAAACTGATATAAAGTATATTAACTCTGAAGCCTCAAACTTGGAGAACTACTCATAACCCTCCAGAAACAAAGGTTCACAAACCACTCCCATTTTCCCCCTTAATACTAATGCTTCAAAATAAAAGTTGTTTTGCATGATTTTAAAGTTTCCATTAAAACTCTAAAAGCTGATAACGAGATTCCTTTCTCTGGTTATTAGTAAGTCTAAGAACTTGTTATTATGTGAAAAGCACAAAGGTAGACTATTTCAACATTATGAAATACTACCAACTTTTTTCAAGAAAAGTAACACATTATCAAGCAATCACAGCACTAAAAAGGACTTTAGAAATCATCTAGGCAATCCCCCTCATTTTAGCAATGAGACTTTAAGGCTCAGACAAGTTAAGTGATTTGCTCAAGGTTGTAAAACCTAATCAGTTCAGGCTCAGGATCAGAATTCAGATTCCCAATCTTGTCCAGGACTCCATTCTTTCACAAAAAGTAAGAAATGTGTGCACATAAATGATTAATCTAGAACAACCTCAAAATTGAGTGTAACAGAAGTGAGCTACGTGGTAGTGACTGAATATAGCACTTCATACCAAATAAAAGTTGCCAGTCCCTGCACTGAGCCCTGTGTCTTTCTGAGGACTGTGCTTTTCTGAAGGGCTGGAGAACACAGGCGGGGGCACCTCTCTGCTTTGTTCTTGCTGCATGACAGCTTCAGGGCCAGGAGGTAAGTCTGGTTCCACTTTGATTGAAGCCAGAAGTTCCGGGACACTGGAGTTTCCTGGGGGGTTGCTTGAAGAGGTTAGAGTGGTGGTGTTCACTGCTATACTGCTGCTGGAGGTCAAAGCCTGTGGGTCCTGACTCAAGTTCTTGACAGGCAGAGCTACCAGACAGCCTAATCCTCCTGCATTTACAGTCTGCACATCATCCATATTGAAGCTGTTTTGCTGAAGAACTGTGGCTGTTGTCCCAAGAACAAGAGGGCTGTCCAGGCTTGGAGGAATGTCATTGTGGGCCACCAAGACCAGCGGGTCCACTGGCCCTAAGGAACTGTTATTAGGGAGGTTCCCTCCAAGAGAAGAGCTCACAGAAGTTACATCAATAGTCAGGATTCCAGGGGTCAGCGCCTCGTCCGAGGCCCCTGGTGCACTACCACCATCAGCAGGTACATCAGAGAAGAGCACTGCCAGATCTATATTGTTGAGCTCACTTTGGCCTGGACTGCCAAGTTCACTGAGTGGGAGGGAACTTGGAGCTCCTAGCTGAGGGAAGAGATCTGAAAAGGAATAAACACTCCAGTTATTTTATGTCCTTAAAAGACTAAGAAGTTTTATTTATACACAAGATGTTACGCAAGCCATCAAGGCAACACCTACTGCCTACTTCCTGACCATGCTGCCTGGCACATCAAAAGTGGCCACACACTGAACAAAGGAAGCCTGATGACATGTCAGGCATTTTACGTAAGTTGTCTCAAATCCTAGTGCTGACAGGGATTTCTCCACATGGAGGAAATAACTCAAGAGTCCAAATAATATTTTCTGAAATCACATTAACAGGTGACAGAACTTGAAGCCATGTCTTTCTGGCTTTAAACCCTGTATTCTTTCTGCTGTACCACAACAGCTGCCCCTGAGAAAACTGTAAAACTTTCCATAGTACCCAAATCTTCTGAAGTCAGACCTAAGGTAAACTCTGGTTCTGAGAATATTTTTGGAATTAGCCTGTATCAGCTCATGTCTCATCAAACTCTATGCCTCACTCTCACAACTAGCTGCCATACCAAAATAGAGCTCAGTCACCTGGAGATGTTCAATGGGAAAAAAATTGGACTGTGGGCCCCAGCTCTAGGGACCTGCAGAGAACTCAAAGGTCTGGTCCCTCAGGGACTCTAGAGGTGGAATCCCTTCCCCTTACTACCTTTGTACCCTCAGCCTCTAATACTCCACCTGCCACCTGCTACAATCATCTGGAGCATGCAGTCTGTCTGAGCATCTCTGTGCCTCAGCACCAGGCAGAATGCCTGCTGGCCTTTAAGCAGGATTTAATAATTACACATAGAAACAATTCTAGTAGATTCCTCTTCATTCAGTATTACTGGTCCCAATACTCTAATCATTTGGTTATTTGTTATCCAATTAAGTAACCTAAATAATCAGAACACCCCTGGAGAAACAACAAACACTGGCATAATTTTTTAAAATTTCAATGAACATTCAAGTTAGGGGTTTATACACAAGTACACTCAACCATCCCAAATCTGGAGCCAGACAGGGACCTGATGTTATTCTTAAGAAATTCCTACCTGCATCTTCTAGAATGTGCCAGGGCCCAGCCAGAAGAAAAAGGGTCTCAGTTCTAGGCTCTATTCCTCCCATACCAACCACTAGCTAATCCCAAACTCACACTTTCTGGTTGTGGACACCAGGTCAGAGTCCCTGTTATATTTCTCATGCAAACCTATGAACAAATCTACTCTAGACAGCCCCCAAAATAAATTTTAAAATAACCAAATTCAGAATATATCTTCTTTGTCATATTACTTCAAAGTTCAAAAGTAGGATCAATATACCATTGCTTAAGTATCTCTTATTACCAATGAAACATTCTGAAAGAAAATGGCAGTGATTCTTTGAAGAAATTAAAAGTGAAAACTATCTTTTTTTCAAAACTTCCCCAAACTTCCCTTGACAATTTTGAGGAATCAGTTCCCTATGTAAAGATTAAGAATAATAATCTTAGTACAGATTGTCCAAAAATTTCCTATTTAGCAATTCTACTTTTACTGGAGACCTTCTATGTACAGAACCAGGTATTCAAAAATCATTAAATGTTAATTAACAGAGCATCTAGCATAAGATTACAATCATGGCCTTACTCCAGCCCTTCTTTGTCTATATGACCTCCAGGAAATCCTTCTCGTTTCCATCTCAATTTTTTTGTCAGTGACAGAGTGGTAAGGACCCCCCTATCCTAGAACCACTGTGAGGAGAAATTAAAAAAGCTAATCTGGGGCAGCCCCTGGCAAAGTCGGTCCACAATAAATGGATGTTCCCAAGCACCTATTTCTCATGAGGCAAGCACTGGGCCGACACCTGGTCATCTACCCACCTGTAACTTGTGGCAGGGGAGAATGACATGAGTAAGTCAATGTCACGTCAGAAATGCAGAGCCTGGAAAATAGGCATTACAGAAGCACCTGAGTAGGTCTCACATCCAGAGAATAAGCAGTGCTGTTGCTGACTTTTGAATTAACCAGGTTAGGAAAAGGGAAGGAGCAGAGAGGCCAGGTGCATGATATCACAGACCACCAGCTCACAGCTGCGCAGATAAGTTTTTGAGACAGAGGCAGGAACCTGATCAATCACTGAGGGCCTCTGAACACCAGAGTAAAGCACTTGACTGGCCTCTGTGAACCAAGGTAACAGCCTCTAACATGAGTCCTCAAGACACCTACCTAGTGTCTAGAAGGGCAGCATCATTAAATATAAAGCTGAAAAGCAGTCATTGTTACAGCCAAAGGAAGGAAGAAGTGACCACACTAAATGGGATCAGAGAAAGCTACAAGAAGAGCAACATTCACTGAACTAAATTACTCATCAAGCCCTGCTCTAGGTACTTTAAGAAGACACTTCATTCTGAGAACCACTCAAATTCCATGTCTGAAAGATGGACAAACAAGGGCTGGCAGACCTGTTCCCTGCCCAAGATCACACAGCTGGGAAGTGGCTGCACCCCAAGGCTGGTGTTGCCTATCATACAAGTGGCAATGAGCAGGACCTGGTTAGCAACATGCTCAGGTAACTCGATAGCTAGCCAGGATTTCACCAGCTAGGACCCGCCTGGTGCAACAACCCCACCATGCCCCAGAGAGAACAGTGATGTGAGTGCTCTAGGGGAGGCAGCCACGTGGCCACCCAGACCCCTCAACTTCCTGACAACAGAACTGTACATGTGGCTTCAAGAGGCAAGATTATAAGTTCCATGCCACCATGTGACATGATGGCCCTCTTGTGTCCAGAAACATCCCCTGGAGAACTTTCATGGTTCCCTCTCTGCGCTCACATCCCTGTCCCCATCCACATCCTGAAACACGACTCTGTTCTCATCTTCAAGGACTTTCCTCAGCAGTGGGATGGAGGAGACAGAAGGTTGCACTCAGAAAGAACCAATGGGACTTAGAAAGATGAGCTGAAGATGACAGAAATGGTAGAGGAGCAGTCTCAGAATTTAGGTCACAAGGGGGATACAAATTTAGGAGGCATATGCTAGAAAAGCCAACAAAGTGGAAGACTGAATGTTCTTCCAGGTAAGCACTTCAGACAAGGAAGGATCAGAGAAGCAGAGGCATGAAGTGGCAGGAGAATCCAAAAGAGGCCACCAGGCTTGGAAGCCATGGTCCCTAGACTGGTAAGACCTCACTGCACTAGATTAACTTAACTGAGATTCAGCCAGCATCTGAGAGGAGCTAAGGAAGAAATGACATGCTTTTGCTTCTCTGACACAGGTTGACCTTACACATCTTTGTAGTCCTTTAAGAGGGACAAAAATCAAGCAGACCTGGGTGCTGGCTGTGCTGCCTGACCACATGTGCCTTCATGCTGTGCTTGGAGGTGAACAGTCTATTACAGCTGGAGACTGGGCAACGGCTTTTTGGAACACCCACGTCCTGAAGGTGTTTCTTGGAGTGAATGTAGAGACTGCTACGAGCAGAGAACCTGGCACAGCACCCTGGAACAAAAACAATGGTGAGTGTTAAACCTGTGCATTACCAAGGAACCAATGCTGACATTTTCTCATCCTATCAGAATCATGTCCATGCTTTGCCTACTGGCAAGAGATATACACTGAAGACTTCTTGGAGCAGCAGCGTAAGAAATTAAATATGAAAACTACTTTTAAAAGGAGATTTGAACCCCACATTATTTATGTAAAAGATGTGTGACCTTGGACAAGTTAACTCTGAGCCCATTTCTTCACCCATTACACAGGGCTGCTGGAAAGATTAAGTTAAATTAAATGTTAAACAATTCCTTAAACATTCAATTGTTAAAAATTTATACTAATCATCTCTATTAAGCTATGACTATATAACCATAATCATATGACATTTAAAGTTAGAAGCTATCTCAACAGATCACCAAGGCCAATTCTTCTCACTTTACCACCGAGAAACTAATGTCCAGCAGGACCAAACAAATGGCCCTAAGTCAGGGGCATGAGCAGAGTCTGGAGCTGGCACTGCCCTGCTGACGACTCAATTGCTTAGCCAGTCAGTAAGACCGCAGACTTGCACACAGGTCAGAGGGAAAACGAGAGAGATTAAAAAATACAGCCACCTTCCTTCATGCCCTGATTTTCTACTGTGGGAGGTCTGCACCACAGGGACAGAAGGGGAAAAAGGGTTCTTGGAGCTTGTGACCTTGTGGGGACTTGTAAACAATCAGGTGTCATAACAAACAGCAGAATAAAACCAGCTCTAGTGCCATGATGTATGCTGGAAGCAAAGGAAACAGCACACCTCAAGAGGACAGAAAACAGGCTTCAGAAGGCAGCTACCATCTAAGGTGACTGGGCCCCCAAAAGTGGCAGGGGCCAGCCAGAGCAGAGCAAGGGCATCCAGGCCAAGGGATCTGCCCAGCTAAGGCATGGACACCATGAAGGACAGCAAGGCTAGGTGGGCAGATCCTGCTCTGGAGCTAACATGACTGGATGCCAACTCTAGCTCAGCTCTCTAGAGTGTATGGCTTTTTTTATCCTTTTGGAATCTCCTTTCTTCCCCTGTAAAGTAGAAATGACACCAACCTCACAAGAATTATGAGGACTACAGTGTACAATTCCAACCTACAGAGTGCCTAACCAAGTAGAAATGAGCATCTTTACACTGCGACAAATTTTGGGGTAGTAAGGTGAAGCTGCTGGAGTCCAAGGCCAGGAGAAGGGCTATTTTAGGAAAAGAGGCTATAAAGATAGGATATGGCCAGATGAGTAAAGATTTTGGCTGCCTCTGAGGAGTTGTGGACTTATTTCATTTTCAAACAAAGCTTCAAACTTGTTTACCAGTCAGACTGATAACAGTACGTTTTGAAAACACCACAGAGAGAACAAACACTGTAGGTCTCACCCTCAGGCAGCTTGTCTATGATTCATGCTGTGTTCCCCCAGTACATGGCAAAGCCCACCATCTTCCATGTTTCTGACCCCTTTTTCCAGCTGGGAGTACTCAGCACAAACTTCTAGAGGCAGCTCACAGAGCAGAGGTGCTGAATACACTTTTTAATCAAGCTGCTTTCCCAAAGAAAAAGATGAATCACAATAGGGAGGTCTGCTACACACACTTTGCCAGCAAGGAGTTTCCATTTTTTTAAATATTTGCTAATTCAACAGGAAACAAAATATATTTCATTTTAATTTTTATTTCCTTTGATGGCCAGGAGTATGATCATTTTTTCATGTGTTAACAGTGTTCTTTTCTAATTACAACATTGTATGTTAAGACTTGTGTCATTTCTTTACAAATCAAAGATATTAATAAACAGCAACCCAACTTTATACCAAGTCACCACACCCAGGGGAAGGGCAAAGCAATCCCTCAATGACAAGCTTCCCTCCAAATCCCTAACTCCACGGACATCTGCTCAGCTTGCATCCTCATCTGCAGAGTGACCACGCAAACATCTACCAAGCTTGACTCCCTGTGAGACATTCTGCAACATACTAGAGAAACCATCACATGTGCCCTGGAGAAGCTCCCATCCAATACATGCTGTTCTCAGTCCCCCATCTATCCTTCCTTACACATGCTCCCTGATGATGGGCCTCTATTCTCTCCTCCTCCTCCAGCCACTATGGAAAAGGCAGGTAGTGGTTGTTTTTAACTTTTTACTGTGGAATATCTACAAAAGCAGAGAAAATGGCATAATCACCCAGACCCAAGAATGAGCAACTCTTTTCCAATTCGACAACAGGCTCTGAGATCCCTCCACCACGCTCCTACCTTCACCACCACTCCTGACAGTCAAGAAGAGCACTTTCAACCAGCCAATGCTTTATCACCCCTCTCTCCATTATCTGCATCCAACTCTACCGTAGCTAGCAACTGCCCTTTCCTCTTTCCTTTACAACGTCTAGAAGCATCTCCAGCCCCACCTTAGCCCTCCTCTCAGGTACTAGAGCAGAGTTCTGCCCCACCTACTCCAATGAACCTCAAACCTCGCTTAGTAAACGAGGAGACCCAATGACCCTGCCTTGCAGAGGAGCCCCTGCACATTCTTCACCAACCCACCTCAGGACTCCCCTCCTTTCCCAAACATCCTCCTCTTGGCCTCAGTGCCACAAACTCTACCACTCCCACCGTTCCTTCTTAGGCTTCCCTCAAAGGTCCCTTCTACTTTTTCACCTGAATTTGTGGCAGTCCCCAGGGTTTTGTCCTAGGCATTCTTGTTAATAGAAATTTTAACAACAGCAGTTAAGTGACCTTTTCTGATGGTTTATATGTGGCTTAATTAAACTTATTAACTAATCAAACCCTCAGAATAACCCTATGAGGTTTTATTTACCACTTTACAGATGATGAAAAGCAGCACAGAAAGCCTGAGCTGCTTAACCAAGGTCACAGAGCTACTTAAGGGCAGACCTGGGATTTGAATCCAGGCAGTCTGACTCTAGCATTTACGCTCTTAACCACTACACTGCCTCTCTTCAATTTACAGTTAACCCTTAAACAATGCAGGAGTTAGGTGGGCTGATGTCTTGCTGTCAAAAATCTATGTATGACTACAGTCAGCCCTCCAAGTACTCCTATTTCCAACCACAGAGTTGACCCTTGAACAACATGGGTTTGAACTGTGTTGATCAACTGAACTGCAGTCAATTGAAAAAATGTGCATGTAAGTGGACTCACACAGTTCAAATCCATGTTGCTCAAAGGTCAACTGTATGCTGTTCCTTGAGAATTAGTCCATTTCCATGGCTTAAATATTTACTGGTGTGCTGCCTGCCTCACTCCAGCACACCTACTCATCAAGCCCCAGCAATACAGCTCCCTGCCCTCTACACATCTCAATTTGGAAAGTCCATGGGTACCTAAAAATGCAGCATGTCCAAACCAAACTCCTCTTCCTCCAAATACTGCCCTGTGTCCCCCTCCAAACTGAGATACTGACCCCCAACTACTGCCTCTCCCACAACCCCAGTCTTCCAAATCGGTCACCAAGCACTGTTAATTTTAACTGCTACCTCTTCTGCCTATGCCTTCTCTCCCTTCCCACTACCAAACCTCAGTCCAGGCACTGGACTGTCTCCCCAGGAAACCAGACTGAGCCTCAACTCAAATATGATCCCACTGCTCCCCTGCCCCAAGCACTCAAGAGCCTGCTCTTCTTACAGCACTGGAAGACCTCCCTACTCCAGCCTTTCTGCTACCCCAACACCTGGCTAGCTTTTCCTCACTCTTTAGCTGACTGGGAGGCCATTCCCATGCCCTAGAAACAGTTTGGGTGACCTTCTTTGTGCCTCCAGAGCACTCTGCATGTTACCTGTCTATATGTCATATCCAAACTGAGCTCCAGTGATGAGAACTGAGTGTTGGTTATATCATCTGTATTACATTCATGACCTTGTAGGAAATGGCCTTAGTTTAAGTGGGACTTTTTTAACCACAGAAGCTTGCCTGAGGTCACCAAGTTAGAGGAAGGTAGAGCAAGGATTCAAGTTCACAACTGTAGAATGACCTGGCTCTGCCACCCCCCAGTGCCTCTGCAGCACTAGAATAAAGCCAGCACAGCCAAATCACACTTCTGGTGAATGAATTATACCTTCAGTGTTTTAGAGGGAAAAAAAAATCCCTAGCATCTTTCTAAAAAGCCAGTCTAGTTTTACTGCTGTCCAGTCACAGCATGAGCAGCATCCATTTACTGAGTCCATGATATGCGCCAAATGCCAAATCTGGCATTTTTCACATTATTTCACTTAATCGCCACGACCACCAAATAAAGCAGGTAACTAACTAGAGTCATAGATCTAGTGAGTGAACTGCAGGGCCAAAAGTCAAACCAGGTCTTATTCTGAAGTCTGTTCTTTCCAATACATTCCTCCCAAGATAGAGCAATTAACTAAAAACCAAGTAAACCTAATGCTATAACTTACACTCACCTGGCTTTAAGCAATTAAAACTTACCTTTCAACAGCTAAAAATTACAACATCAGTGTGGACATGGTGCTAGTTTACAGCTAAAGTAACATGAAACTCTACCTTCCACGGGACACTCAAATGGTTTTGTGCCCAAGTGGGTGATACTGTGGCCTTTCAGATGCTCTGCTCTCGTGAATGACTTCCCACAGCCTTCAACAGAGCAGGTAAACCTCCGGTCGTCATCGTGTTTCCTGCCAGAACAGAAAAACAGGACACTTATTATTCATACAACCTGGAGGCACCAAGCCTCAGAGATGATCTTTTGTTTAAAATTCTGCAAAATATACCAAATGACAAACACTTTGCATTTTTAAAAAAATAACCAGTACATTTCAGAAAATCTTAATTGTCTCTAGCCCACATGGGCATATTTGCAGTTTAGCCACCCTGTAATGAGAAATTCTACTTTAATGACCTAGCTGAGCCCAGAATCAGTCACAAAACAATCAATGCTGCTTTAATCTAGAAACAGCTGAGTCCCCAGCGTATTGATAGCGCTACTTCCACTGTTAAAGAATCTCGATAATAAACAAGCTTTTCAACCCACAGAGGGCAATGGTAATTGCACAGAAAATCCACCGTAATGCTAAAATGACCTTCTCAAGACCCTGCATAAATACTCTTTTCAAGAAATATTTTTATATCAAACGCTCAAACCCTAACTGTGCAAGCTTGGACAAACCACCCAACCTCTTGAGTCCCAATGCAAAACAGGGAGAATAAGAACATCAGAGTCAGAGTTATGAAGACTAAAAGGGATAGACATGCAAAGTGCTAAACATCACCTTCATGTAGGCTAAGCCCTCCAAGGTCATCATTACCACCATGGAAAGTTTGTACTGTACGTGGAAAGCTTATTCCACATGTTAATTTTCTTTTTTCTTTTTTAAGATTTTATTTATTTATTTTTAGAGACAGGAAGGGAGTGAGAAAGAGAGGGAGAGAAACATCAATGGGTGGTTGCCTCTCAAACACCCTGTACTGGGGACCTGGCCGGCAACCCAGGCATGCGCCCTGACTGGGAATCAAACCAGCAATCTTTTGATTCACAAGGCAGCACTCAACCCACTGAGCCACATCAGCCAGGGCTAATTTTCTTAAAAATACAGAAATGTAAATAAAGGGTGCCAATTAAGTTTAAAAACAAGTATACACAGAAAAAAGCTGACTTTAGGTGATTAGATTTTCAGTGATTTTTCTTCTTATAGTTTTCCGCATTTTCCAAGTTATCTACATTCAACTCTTCTTATAACTTAAAAAAAAAACCCGACACATTTCATTCATAGGCTTCTGCTACTAAGAAACCATTCATTCATTTTCAAAACTTGTAATTCAACCAAAATGTATAAATTACCTTTTGTGCCTCAGGAGTTTAGACATGCTGGTAAAGGTCCAGCCACAACTGTCAGAGTCGCAAATAAAAGGTCGTTCACCTTAGAAAAGAAAAAGTTACGCCACATAATTATAAATGCAAGCTACTACAAAGACAAATCTTGGGTCCAAGTGACATTGCATTCTCTAGCTCATTACCTGTATGACTTCTCAGGTGAATTTTCAGGCGGCAGGCTTTGTCATACTGTTTGCTGCAGCCAGGAAAGGAGCAGGAAAAGAGCTCCTGTTCTCTGAAGTGGGCACGGTTATGGGAAAACAGAGCACTCACTGTGATGAAGGTCTTCTCACAGCCTGAACAACAGAAACACAGTGCTGCTCACTGGTGTGGCAAAAATCACAAACACAGCTGCACTAGCCAACACCCAGGACACTGCTGGCCTTGACTGAAGCAGACAAGGAATAAAATGATTCAGAAGTACCTCTGGAAAGTTACTACCATCGACATCTGGCTTTGTAATAGCTAAAGTAAGGGTAGCTAAGGGCAGTCAACAGGCCCACACAAGCAACTTGTTTTGATGTGACTTAGAGATGAAAGACCTGATGAAGGGAAAGTCCTTCAATCACAACCATCTGCTCCCAGTTCTGTGGCACAGATCTTGCATACATTTTATGAACTCAAGTGTCAATGCTGCCAGTGTGAGACCCAAGAAAATCCAATGAGAAAAATCAGACTAAGGAACAAGATTTTCTCTGCTAGGGTTGAGCTTGGAAGGGCCACAAATCACTGTACCAAATGAAACTTTCTGACCCCTTGGGTTGATGCTCCATCCTCTATAATCATAAAGGTCCTCCCTGACATCCTCTGTAATTGGCATCCCCCAACACTGTCATCTGGCGTCTCTTTTTCCTTTTGCCCATTTGCTCAGGGTTCCCTGCTCTGTCAAAGGAGGTTACTGGAGCCATCTTCACTCACATGGTCTCTTCCATCACCTCCATCTTCAGCCCCCTGTTGAGACACCAACCAAAGGAGCCTACCTAAGCAATTCCCATACTTTCCATACAAATAGTGCTCTGTTGAGAAAAACATTCAGTGCTCAAATGGGTGGAAGATATCAGGCTACAAGATGCTTATCAGGTGTCCTACTTGCAGGTCTTCTCATAGCTTTTAACATTCTACCATAGTGCCTGTAAACCACCCAGCAGATATACACTGCACAGTACCACATACCACATAAAAGTACTGGCCCAAGGTGCCCTGTTCTTCGTGGCAACACTGAACTGGGAAAACCTACCTCTCTAAATGCCCTACAATCATCCTCTTTGCCATCAGTCTGCTCCTCTCTCCCCCATTTCCCTATTTTGGGCTTTGGTGTAGTCAATCTGAGCACAGTGAAACTGGAACATTTCTTCAGGGGCTTCACTGAACCGTCTCCTTCTCCTACCATCTCAAACACTAACACCCCCATAGATCATCTAGCTCAAACCCCTCAGAAGACCTCATGCTCTTAAGCAGGGTAGGGCCCTGATTTTCCTAGTATTATACTCAGAATCATGCTGTGTATTTTACTAGGAAACAGTCTTTAAGCCACTGTCAGAGTCCCGGAGTGTGTGACTGAAACGTTTCCAATCAGTGGCCTAAAGCCATGTTCTTCATGAAGGGGGACACACAAAACAATCTACAGCATATGGGAAGCAAACACTAAAACTTGTTAGCATTTGTTGTTCACTTCACTTTTTCAAAGTCCCTGTATTTGAGTATATTTTATAACATGTCAACACACTCGTGGCTCATGCTAGGTTCAAGTTTGCAAATCCTCTGCTTGGCCATCCCACACCGTCACCACAGCTCACATATTCTTCCTTGGCTCTAAAGTTTTACCCACCAGCCACCTTCCCCTAAGCCAACTTCTTCCCAGGAAGGAATCTCCTCTTACTCCCAGAAGGCACTGCGCCTATTTTAGAGCAATTAAACCCCCTATCCTGATGAAGAGGTCACCGTGTTGAAGCCTTATCTCCCACCACCGCAAGCAATCACAGTGGAGAAAAAACCTCCACTGGATTTTTTTCCCCCAATTGATCGGCTTCAGTTGCTTCATTTGTAAAATGAGGATAATTTTAAGAACGTCACAAAACCGTTAAGTCCAAAGAAAAGTATGAAAGGTACAAAAATCTGTGCTACACCATTTTAGGGTCTTACATCTGGCCACTCATCTGTTTTCCTCCGGCATCGAATGTGTGTCCCATAAATATCTGAGGAGTATTTCTAAATGATGACACCGAGGAAAATAAAGACCTGTGTCATAACAAATCTCTTTCATTAACCAGAAGCACCCTCAGAAAGATGTGCTGCCTCTGCCATGGGGAATGACAACTGATTATTTGTGGCACCTCGCTGTCGAAATCCCCGCAGCAATGCAGGGTTCAGGTGACCTGGGAAGAACTAGAACAAAAGCTCCAAACACCGCAGCGCTTCCGTTCCCACCTCTCATACCTGGCCCCCAGAGTTTAAATACTGCTCAACCCAGCAGCCGGAGGTAGGGCGCCACCGCACCCATTCTGAGCGACTGAATTTGGACCTGGGTCCCGAGAGCCACCCCGCATCCCGCCCGCAGGCCCTGGGTTACCGGGAAAGTCACACTTGTAGGGCCGCTCGGGCTCGAAGTGGCTGCGCTGGTGAGAGTTGAGTTTGGACTGCGTGGGGAAGCGCTCCGCGCACACCTCACACTTGAACAAGTTCTCCTGCTCGTGGCCCTTCATGTGTGCCTTCAAGTTGTACACAGTAGTGAACTTCTTGCCGCAGCCACCCACCGGGCAGCCGAAAGGTCGCAGCTTGTCGTGCGACTGCAGATGCCGCTTGAGTTTATAGGAGGTGGTGAAGGCCCAGCCGCAGCCGTCCAGGGGGCACTTAAAGGGTCGCCGGCCCTGGCTACTTCCGTGTGTCAGCAGGTGCACCTTAAGCTGATGCTTTTTGGCGAAGGAAAGCGCGCACTGCGGCTCAGGGCAGCAGTAGCCAAGCGCGCCGGGACCCGGGGGTCCGCGGCGGCCCTCGGCCAGGCTCGCAGCCTCCTCGCCTGGCTGCGGGGGCGGGCCACGGGACGACGGGTCCGGTGGCGGCGGCTGCGCGGCGGCCAGCGTGAAGACGCCGTGGTCGAAGCGCACCAGCAAATCCTGGCTGCTGATGGTGACGGTATTCGTGAGGGCCGCGCCGGGCCCGGGGATGGCAACCGCGCCGCTGGAGCCCTGCTGAGGGTGGCCGGCAGGACCCGCGCAGGCGCCGGACTCAGCCTCTCGCTGTCCAGAGATCTCGGCCGCGGCGCCGCGCGGAACTTCCAGCAGCACCACGAAGGAGTCGCCGCCATCCTCGAGGGTTGGCGGGCTCGGCCCGGAGCCCGCCGCCGCCGCCGCCGCCCGAGCCTCCCATCGCCGCGGTCCCGACCCGCCGTCTTCGGGACCCCGCAGCAGCAGCAGGTGGCGGCGCGCGGGGCCAGGGCTGGGCGGCGGTCCCGGACCTCGGCGGAGTGGGCCGGGGCCGCCGCCGCCATGTTGGACACCGCGCGGAGTCGGGGCGGCGAGCAGCGCTGGGAGATCCATCTTGGACCCAGCAGGAGCGTCGTAGCCGCCTCTCCGTGGAAGCGCCCTCTGCCCCGCCCAAGCGTGCGCGACGCCGTGCGGCTGCTCCGACAAGTCGGCGCCAAAACCTGGGGCGGAGCGCGGCCCGGAGCTGCGGCTGCGCGTGAGCTGCGGCGCGGTGCGTATGGCGTAGTGGGTCGTGCGACGTGGTTCCCTGCTTTGAAAGCAGCGGTTTGATTCCCTACAGGGAAAGGAGGGCTGCCTGACTTACAGAAATCCTCTATTATCTGGGTAGTGGGTTAATAATTGCAGCTGCTAACCTCATTCACAAGTTTGAGGAAGCTGAGCATAGAGAGCCCGAATTCCCTTGCCGGAGATCGCACAGGCCTGAACACCTTCCTCAGGAAGCTAGGCAAATTGGAGTCCTTCCTGCCGCTGGCTTCTGGCCACAGGCCTCGCTTCAGAACCCCCAGATCCTTTCCTGGCACGTAGGTCCTCCCAGACGAGACCGCTGCTTACACTTCCGATTGCATTTACCAGTAATCTTAACACATTCACCCTCAATTCAGCCCTTGCCCTGTCTCCTTCCCCTAACTCCTGGCATTTCCATATTCAATCCGGAGTCTCCACTTTTCATGTCTCTGCACCCGGATCCAAACCCCTATTTCAGCCCTGAATTCTTAGGACAATAACTCCATATCTCGTCTTCATCCTCCATCCACCACTCCCTCAATTCAATCTATTGTCTATAGGGCAGACTTTCGTGACCTTACAAAAATGCAAATCTAATTATGCTCACTTCTGTGCTCCCCATTTCTCTTATGGCCTTGCTGGTATCCCCCGAAAGACACACCTCTTTGCCCTTTTTTGACCACGTTAGCTCTATACAATCTCACTGTCCCCATCTTTTTCCCAGTTTTTCCTGCAGGCCAAGCAATTTCAGCCTCAAAGATTTTGCACAACTGGTCTTTGATTCCTCTGGGAAATCTTAGGTGGCCTTCTGTTCGAAGTCCACTTTCACCCAGACCCTTATCTCCAAAGAAGTCCACTTTCATCCAAACCCTTATCTCCAACTCCCCCTTTGTTTATCATTATAGCTCTTATTTGCAATTGTTTTTATTTGCCCCTTTCCCTGATAATCCATTGTCTGTGTTCCCTCTAGAATGGAGACTCCCTGAGGCCAGAAACTGTGTCAGTTCCCTTCGTTTCTGTATGCCCAGAGTCTAGCAGCAAAGATTCTCAGTAAATACATATGAATAGATGAATGTTTTACTATGAAAAGTACTTAAAAGTAATGAACATCAATAGTATTGAAAGAAGGAAACGTTTTTATAAATATGAATGTATGCCAAAAATATATTTTTCCAAGGCCATTCAAAGTAGGAAAGAATAACCTTTTCAACAAATGCTACTTACAAAACTGGATATCCACATGTAAAAAAAATTAACGTGGATCTCCTACCTCACACCATACACAAAAAGTAATTCAAAATGGATCAAAAACCTAAATGTAAAAGTTAATACTATTAGAAAAAAACCTAAGTAAAATCTGTGTGATCTAGGATTAGGAAACAGTTTTGTAACAGGGAGTTGAGCTGAAGGTCCCCCAAAATGGAGAAAACCCCCATAACTATCACTTGAGGAATGAGGGAAGCAGAGCAGGGCCCTTGAGAGCTACTTTGCATATCTAAAGAACTTGTACCTGCTCAAGCCAGAAGGATGGGGGTGACTCTAATCCGGGATGCAATGTAGCTGGAAGGGTTTACTGCAGCTGAGAGAGCAGCTTGGAGCTGGTTCCCTGGGCCAGGCTTCCCCAGACTAACAACAGCAGCTGAGAAAGGCAGAAGAAACCAGACTACCGGCAGAAGTAACCCAGTGTGGGAGGAGTCAGAAATGGAGTTATGGAGGTAGATCCATGTTGGGATTTAAACCCAGGCACAGCAGCCACGCTGGGGCTTAACCATGTGTTTTGGGAGCAGAGAGAGGGCACCCTTGACCACGTGGCTTAGAAAACAGGAAAGCAAGATGTAGCAGCCATGAGGAGCTCTCTTGGCCACTAGGTTTGATACGACACAGAAGGATTCCCTGGCTCACCATGAGGATGCAGTTTAGGATTAAGAACAGGAACCGAGCTACGGACTTCTATTTACCTTTCCTGAGATACAGTACCCCTGACTGACCTGGTTTGGCAAGGAGAGGCAGGATTGTGCATGTGTTTGTGGGTGTTTTAAAAGGGACTTTGGGATTTAACAGCAATATCCCTCCATTACCCTAACCCATGTAACTTTTGGATAAATAGTTCCTTTTCTTTTTACCAAACTGGCATTGAGAGCCACAATTCCTACCAGCAGCAGGCAAAAAGAACCAAGGGCAGAAAGCTTCTGGGGGGAAGGGGGGTGGTTTCTGTAACAGTTTCTCAGATTTAAAGCCAAAAGTGCAAGTACTGAAGTAAACATATTTGGCTTCATTAAAATTAAAAACTCTTTTGGGCCCTGGTGGGATGGCTCAGTTGGTTGGAACGTTGTCCTGTACACCAGAAAGGTTGCAGCTTCCATCCCTAGTCAGGACACATACCTAGGTTGTAGGTAGGTTGTAGGTTTGCTCTCTAGTCGGAAGGCAACCAATTAATGCTTCTCTCTACCCCCTCTACTCTCCCTTTTCCTTTCTCTCTAAAATCAATAAAATATATCCTTGGGTGAAGAGTAAAAGAAAAAACTTTTGGGTCAAAGAACACCAACAGTGAAATGAAAAAACAGCCCACAGAATGGAAGAAAAATTTGCAAATCATATCTGATAAGGATCCTCTATCCAGAATATATTTTTAAAACTCCTTCAACTCAAAAAACAAAAAGACAAATTTGAAAAGAGACAAAGGATTTGAATAGACATTTCTCCAAATAAAAAGTAGAAATTGCCAATAAGCACCTGACAGGGTGCTCAACATAATTAGTCATTAGGAAAATGCAAATTAAAACCACAATAAGATATACCACTTCACACCCATTAAGATAGCTATTATTTTTTTTAAGTGAAAAAGAAAGAGTACTGGTGAGGCTGTGGATAAATTGGAACCCTCATACATTTTTGGTGGGAATGTAAAATGGTGAAGCTACTGTGGAAAAAATCTTGGCAGCTCCTCAAAGAATTAAGTATAGAATTTCCACATGACCCAGCAATTATACACTTAGGCATATACCCAAGGGAAATGAAAACATATCCACATAAAAACTTGTGTGTGAATGTTTAAAGCCACATTATTAGTAACCTACACAATATAAAGTGGAAACAACTGTCTATCAACAGATGAATGGGTAAACACAATGTGGTCTATCCACACAATGGAATATTATTCAGCCATAAAAAAGAATGAAGTACAGCCCTGGCTGGTGTGGCTCAGTGGATTGAGTGCTGGCCTCAAGCTGAAAGGTTGCCAGTTCAATTCCCAGTCGGCACATCCTTGGGCTGTGGGCAGGGTTCCCATTTGGGGGTGTGGAAGTGTGCAAGAGGCAACTGATTGATATATCTCTCACATATTGATGGTTCCCTACATCTCCCTTCCCTTTTCTCTAAAAATAAATAAATTAAATATCCATTTAAAAAGGATGAAGTACAGATGCCGACTACAATATAAATGAACTTGAAAACATGCTAAGAGAAATAAACCAAACACAAAAGACCGCACGCATTGAATGATTTGATTTACAATAAATGTCCAGAATAAGTAAATGCAAAAAAGCAGAAAATAGTGGTTGCCTAGGGATGGGAGAGAGGTAAAATTAAGTCAGACTCATGGACATGGACATGGACAACAGAGTGGGAATTGATTGTGGGAGCAGGGGCGGGGGCAGTAGGATGGGTGGAAGGGGGTAAAGGGGTAAAAATTGAGACAACTGTAATAGAATAAACGATTCATAAATTTAAATAAAAAAGAATGTCAAAAAGTAAAATTAAAACGGACTGCTATTAGCTGCAGGTTGGGACAATGGAAATGTCCTGGAATTTAATGGTGATGGTACACAACACAGTGAGTATGCACACTTTAAAGTATTCTGTATTTTTTTACATGCTGTATGTCTCCACTAAAATATATTGTTAGGAAAAATCAATGTAGAACATTCTTTAGGAGGATCTGTTTGTATAGAAGGGAAACTATATGTATGTTCATGTGTTTGTATACCCTTAGAATGTTTCTACAAAGATACACTGCTAATATCTGTGGCTACTTATAAAGTGGGGTGGACAAAGGGTACTTTCACTTCCAATGGCACTATTTGATTTTGTTTAAGAGTATAAGTGTTTTTCAAGTAATTTTTCTAATTAAATTTTTTTTCTATTATAGAAAACAGTATGGCAGTTCCTCAAAAAACTAAACCTAGAATTACCATATGACCCAGCAACTCCACTTCTGGGTATATTCCCCCCCAAAAAAGAAAAGCAGGGACTCTAACAGATATCTGTACATCCATACTTAAAACAGCACTATTCACAACAGTTAAAAGATGAAAGCAACCCAAGTGTACATTGACAGATGAGTAGATTAGCAAAATGTGGTCTATCCCATAGAGTGAAATATGATTCAGCCTTAAAAAGGAAGAAAATTCTGACACTTGACAACATAAATTTTGAGGACATTATGCCAAGTGAAAGTACCCAGCATTTGTTTGCATTTGGGGAGAAATTGCCCAGCACCTCTGACAGGCTGAAAGACATTACTACAGACTTAGCATTACCAACTAAGTGTTACAGGACTTTCCAAGTTCTAGCAGGATTGGGGATGGGCTGGGGTCAGGAATTCCAATTTGTATTTTTTTCCCCAATACCAGGAAACAATTAAGTCAATTCTGACACTATCTACCTGGAATAGAATCAGATCCCATAGGTTAAGGGCTCAGTGCTACAAAGATTCCATCCCCCACTTCAGACACCAGTCACAAGTCCACGTTGTCACCTGTGCTTCTGCCTTACTGGCAATAAATTGGTTGCCATGACCCTCTTCTTGGGTTTGATTAATTTATTAGAGCTCCTCACAGAACTCAGAGGAGCATTTTACTTACTAGATTACCAGTTTATTATGTGAAATGTTGGCGAAGTGGATCCATTTGAAAATGGTGTCAGGATAGCTATTCCAGAGGAACTGCCTTGTTACTTGAACCTTTGGGATGTTTGAACTTTGCAAAATAACTTTCATGTGTATGTTACATGCTGTTGCATTGGCTCTGACTCCTGGTGACTCTGTGAATGAGTGATGTCCACAACGTCCTGTCCTCAACAGCCCCGCTCAGCTCCTGTAGACTCATGCCTATGGCTTCTTTTATGGAATCAATTCATCTCATAGTTGGTCTTCCTTTTTTCCTGCTGCCTTCCATTTTTCCCAGCATTATTGCCTTTTCCAAACCCTGCCTTCTCACGATGTGCTCAAAGTAGGACAGCTTTAGTTTATTCATTTTGCCTCCAGCAACGTTTCAGGATTACTTGCCCTAGGACGCACACTTGTTTATCTTTCTAGAGGCTCAGAGTATCTTTAGAGCTCTCCTTCAAATAAATGTTTGTTACCTCTCACTTTGGCTTTTTATTTTTAGGTTTATCATTATAATAGCCAGATGGAAGTGGCGCATAAGGCAAAGTATGGGGAAAGGACCCGGAGCTTCCATGCTCTCTCCATGAACATCACTCTTCCCAACCTTCCAGAGTTCTCCAACCTGGAAGCTCTCCAAACCCTATCCTTTTGGTTTTTTAGAGTAACTTCATTACACAGGCATGAATGATTAAACCATTGGCCATGGGCAACTGATCCAAACTCCAGCTCCTTTCCCCACTACCCAAAATCACCTGACTAACATAAACTCAGGTGTGTTTGAAAGGAGTTTGTTATGACTATCAAAACACCTTTATCACTCATCACTTAGGAAACTCCAGGGTTTTAGAAGCTGTGCCAGGTATGGGAAGAAAGACCAAATATATATTTCTTATTGCAAGTTGTGTCTGGAAATAGTCCAGCCATTATTTATATAATAAGAACAATTTGAGCAACATTGATGTAACCTGGCAGCCAAGGAGAGTGGACTGGAATGCATATGCGTGAACAATGACAACTTCACTGTACTAGTCAGTGGGGGCAGACACCATTGAGTGAGAATATATACTGTGTGGCCCTCGCATTCAAAATGACTGAGGAAGTAGAGCAATGAATCTGCATCACATTTTGCATTAAGCTTGAACATTCCTCTGTGAAACTATTCAGATGATTCAGTGATGATGCAATGAGTGCAGCATAAATTAAAGTTTGGCACAAATGCTTCAAAGATGCTCAAGAATCTGTTGAAAGTGATCCATGTTCTGGAAGACCTGCAACAAGCAGAACACCTGATAATGTTAGACGTGTACAGACTGCAATCAACAAAGATCAGTGCTGACAGTATGAGAACTAGAAGGTGATCCAGGGATTCCAAAAACTACTATGTCTAAGATTTTGGTGCAGGATCTTGGCATGAAACGTGCCCTGGCAAAATTCGTTCCACAGCTTTTGCTACCAGAGCAGAAGGAGCATCGTGCTTCAGGCACAAATGACTTGATTCAGACCTGTACCAATGAACCAGATCTGCAAAAAGGTAAAAACCAGAGATGAATCCTGGGTCTATGGCTATGATCTGGAAACAAAGGCCCAGTCATCCCAGTAAAAGTCATCTGGTTCTCCAGACCTGAAGAAGGTGTGGCAAAGTCTCAACAAGATCAAGACCATGTTAACTGTGTTTTTTGATTGGGAAGGTGTCCATCACGAGTATGCCTCTCCAGGCCAAACAATTAGTAAGGAGTTCATCAGTGGTTGAAATATGCAATACAACAAAAATGGCCACAGCTATGGGCAACTGGTGACTGACAGCTTCATCACAACAATGAGCCTGCTTATGCGTCACATCTTGTGAAGAGTTTTTTTGTGAAACATCAAATCACCCAGGTGACTCAGCCCCCCTACAGCTCAGATTTGGCACCATGCAACCTCTGGCTTTTCCCAAAACTAAAATCACCTTTAAAAGGGAAGAGATTTCAGATTGTCAGTGAGATTCAGGAAAATCCAATAGGGCAGCTGATGGCAATTCCAACAAAGGATTTTGGAGAGTGTTTAATGGGGAGAAGAGACACTGGGAGAGACGCTGAGAGAACTGTGTGAGGTCCCAAAATGCCTACTTTGAAGGGGACTGAGGTGTCATTGTCCTATGTACAATGTTTCTTGTATCTTGTATCTTCTTCAGTAATGTCTCTATTTTTCACAGTACATGGCTGGATGCTTTCTGAGCAGACCTCATAGAACATCACAGAGTGAAAGAAAACTTTTCTAGCAAGGATCCTAGTGATTAATTTTACGTGTCAATTTCAGTGGCCACTTTAAATATGTTTCTCTGTATGTCTGAGGGTATTTCCAGATGAGATTAGCATTTGAATGAATGCTAATTTTATTCATAAAATAAGTGACCCTCTGCAAAGCAAAGTAATTAGGTGGCCATTACAAGGCCGAAGAGGGAGGGATTCATCCCCTTTTCCTTGCCTCACTGATTAAGCTGTGCTCATCTCATCTTCCCCTGCCCTAGAACTTGGATTTATACCATCAGTTTCCCTGGTTCTGAGGCCTTCAGGCTCAGACTAAATCATGCCAATGGCTTTACTGAGTCTCCAACTTATAGATGGCAGATCATGGGACTGCCACTATACATATATCATTTCTATCTATCTATAAATATCTATATACATATATTATATGACATTGTTATTAGTCATGGTAGGGATTGGTAGAGACTGTAGGAAATTGGAGGAAAAAAAAAAAAGCCCAGCCCTGAAAGGCCTCCAGCTGATTGATATCACTGAGGCAGTAAGGGCACAGTGTGATCTAATCTACTGATTTCTTCAAGTAAACACAAAGTCTGAAGTTTTAAGTGAAATGTCCCAATCTGTAAAAACTGGTAACAAAGTCTTTTAAAGGGAAAGCCAAACAACATGCAACTACAGGTCAAGTCCAACCCCCAGCTCCCAATGTAGTGATCTACTCTGGAAAGACACGGGCGAGAGAGCGCACCATTCAGCCAAGCCCTCCTGGGCTGGCCTAAACTGGCCAGCAAGGAAAGCATCTGGTTCTAAGGAAGCTCCAGTTTCACAGGGAGCAGAGATTGCCCAGGGAGAGGCTCTGAGACATTCACAACCTCAAATTTTCAAGGCAACTTAAGCCTACGCCCATCACAGCCAACTGGTTTCTATTTTAGTCATTTTGGTAAAAACATTTCTAAGTGGACTACACATCTCTGCTGTTAAACAAAAACCTTTACTGCTAAAAGCTTGTCTGAAAGAAAGGGTTTATTGATCCATATGCTAGCCAATAAAAGGACCAGGTCCTGGATATGCAGTTTAAACCACCAGCAGCCAGACTACAGTAAATGGGGAAGACAAACATGTCAACTGTCCTGGAACTGATGAAGCTCTTTTAAAGACATTGTTCTGCAAAAATTTACATTGGCTATAAATAAAGGGGACGGTGGCAAAAGGTGAAGCATAAACATTTCTAGGATAGGTACACAGTCCATAAGGAAAAAATGTTTTCTACTTTTTATTGATTATAGGCAACAGTCCAGAAAGTTCATGCATAAGCAGGATGCAGTGGTGTCTGGCAGTCAGCTGTTTCTTTTTAGATAGCAACCTGGAAGCTGATTCAAAGCTCCAACATACAAGTACATTCAGGAATATAAGCAATCTTTTGTTAGTTGGCCCACAGCTATTAACTGGTTAATCACCCTTGTCTCTCCACTAGCAATAATTTCATTTATGACATCTCAGAACTTTTTCTTGTCACTACTTTTTTAAAGCTAAAACTGAACTGTACACACTGAACAGCTAGTCTGTTCCATTCACTCCACAGCTACTGAAGCTGTGGTCAGATGTCCCAACTCCCCAGTGAGCCTCGTGGTGGCCCCATTCTGGATGTCAGCTGCCCCTTCTCCTTGCTGGCAGCATGCTGATATGTAGTGGCCCGGTGAAATAGCCTACTCACTAGCATGGCTTGGTATGGAGCCAAGAGGGGTTCTGAACTCCTTGTTTGTGAGTAGAAGCCACCTGAGAACTAGGCCCAGAGCTGGCCATTGAGCTCTACCTGTCCTTAATAAATGAAGGTATTGGGTGGGAAAAGGAGGGCCTGGTCTTAACATTGAACATATCTTCTTGGTTTCTCCCTAGAAACAGGGAATGTTCACACAGCTATATGCATGATGGTACTTTCCATGGAATCTTGTTGACAGACACTATGATGATTAGATGTTGTGCTTGCTTGTGGAATAGAAGCCCTGCTAGGATGGCTTTAACAGATGAGGACCAAGGAATCTGGGGAAGGGCAGGATGATGCTGGAATGACAGCTTTATGTGCTGCCAAGAACCCAGGCACCTGTGCCATTTCATATACCTTTCCTATGCCTCTGTGGACTTCATGGTCACAGCATGGTTGCTGTGCTTCCAGCACAATGCTGGAGGTCCTAGCAGGAAGAAGGGGCAAAAGCAAAGAGCAATCCAGCCACATCTGTACATTTTCATTAGAAAAATAAGTGCTTTCCCAGAAGTCCTACCCAGCAGATTTCCACCTCATCTCATGGGCCTAGGTCTGTGATCAGTCTTAATTGCAAGGAAGGCTGGGAAATCAACTACTTCTACTGACTATATTGCTTCCCAGAGAAAACTGGGGTTTTGTAAGTATGGGAAAAGAGATGACCACTGGCAGAGGAGGTGAACAGTATTGAGTGATTAAGGATTCAGAATCAGGTAGATTGGCCCCATCTCTGCAGACATGGAGGAGGAGTTGTAAAAAGTTTTCTGTGGCTCCTTGTAGACCCATCCTTCAATCTCTCTCTTAATTCTTTGTTTAGGATGAGTCATTTTTAAGATTCTCATGGGTCCAGCTGGGGGCTAAGCTAAGGCCAGAAACTAATAAGAATACTATACATGGTCAAAGCTGCTCTGCTTTGCATAGCAGGGTCATGGGGGCATCCTAGTGTGAAGAGTCAGCAAGTGTGGTGCCACCATGGAGGCCTGCTCTAGGGGCAGTGTCTCCCTGATTCCCTGCATGGCCGTATATGTTTACAGTAAAGGGAGCAGGACCCAGTATCAGTTGGTGGGGCAGGAAGGGTGAAAGAATACAAGCAGGGAACTCATCTCTCCATTGGCTTCTTTTTATAACTGGGGGATGAATAAAGCAGAACCACCATTACCCCTTAAAAAAAGAAGCACCTACTTCAAAACGATGGCCTGGAAAAACATGGCCATGTAATCCATTTCGCCTGGGTCATCTTCACAGAGGCTAGGCTCTGGGATCTGGCAGGGGTGGGGTATACACAAGAATGCAGCCTCAGGTCCCACACAGTTCCCTACAGGACACCTGGTCCTCAACAGGGCTCCCGAGCAGATTTCTATCATAAATGACCAGCCATGGATAGTACTGCTGCTCTCTACTTTTATTCATACCAAAGTATCAATATCCTTTAGGTCAGAGCCTTGCCAGCCCCCATCCAACCACCCTGCATCCACCCTACCCATGCCACCTATTTTCCTATCTTCCTCCCTGGACCCCTCCAAGCCCAGGGCCTGGTCAGTATTCCTTTGTGCCCAGAGCCAGGAACATGGAGGTACAGAAGGCACCCACATAGACAAATGAACAACCTAGCAGATGGAAATAGAGCTGTGTGGATGACTGGAAGGTGGACTGGAGACAGAGAGGCAGATAAAAACCTGGCTGGAAAGCCTGCCTCCTTGGTAGGAGAAGAAATAGCAAGAAGCTTAGAAGGTGCTTGGTTGATTGCCAGGACAGCCAGTATTCATGACACACACCTACTCCCAAAGCTTCCAGAGTCCACTTCATGGCAAGCTTGAGGATGTAGCCCCAAACAAGACTTTCACTGCTTTCCCAGGTTCCCAGGGGAATTATGTGGTCATGGAAAAGTGACTCCACCTCTCTGGCCCTCAGCTGGCTAATCTGTGGAATGGGAATGGCAATAGCCCACCCTCTAGGGTGCAGTGAGGCCAAATGAGGGCATGGGTGTGGAGCTGCTGACCTAGGAGAAGGATGTGTGCACTGGAAGGCATGGTATTGTGTGAGGGCAAGGACAGGGACCAGGGGGACCAAGGAACCACGGCAGGCTCTTGAACTCCTGCTCATGGCCACAAGGCCTGCTGGAGCACATGCTCGTCTGCCACCTCGTGTGGGAGTGTCACCACCAAGCCCTTGTTCTCCTGCATTGTCTCGCAGATAATTTCGTAGGCCTTCCGGTTCCCAGACCAACAGCGACGGGCCACCTGTCAGTAGGGTATGAAGAGAGTTGTGCAGCAGCTGGTGCCAACATCACCAGGTTCCCAACAAGGCATTCTGGACACATTGGGGCTGGACTCAAACCCCCTGGGGGATCCTCTGCTATTGGTGGGGTCTGTCTATCCAAGTCCTATTTGATGGTCAGGCCTCCTCTCTTGGCCCAATTACTATTTACCTGCCTCTCTGATCTGAAACGGGCCATCCTTCTGCTCAGCCTCTCCTTTCCACGCAGGGGCACAGACCAGGAACCCAGGAGTCATCCTCAGCACCCCTCTTCACTGGCCTCATAGAATGGACACCCACCTCAGCTCTGCCTTAAAATCTCTTTCCATCCACTTTCTTCTCTCTATCTCCATTATCAGGGCTCCCTGGATGACTATCATGGCACCTCCCCCTGCTCCGTGCTGCCATTCTTGCCAAACACCCCACCCCCACACTGTCCACTGCCCCCCTATGCCTCCCCCAGTCCATTCTCTCACTGCTTCACTGCCTTCAGAATGAAGATTCTCCCTCTGCTGGGGGCTCCCAAGAAGTTGGACCCTCCAAGAACCTCTTCACTTCCATTGTCACATTTACTGCCTGAGCCACCCAATGTCAAACTCTCTGGGCTCTTGTGCTCAGCTCCTTATTTGGCTCATGGCTGCACATATGCTTCCCCATTATTACCTGACTTTCTGTTTATTCTGCCTTCCCTGTGATGTTGTCCCAGGGAGGATGGATCCCCCACCACACACGCACACACATTCTGATTAGCCCACCCTGGATCACAGCAAAGCTAATCATAGCTGCACAGCCAGAGGCTGTATAGATTCTGCACTCTGACCCACCTCGGAGATGGTGGAAATGTAAGGTTTTAAAAGGAGGCCTCTCCTACCAGCAGTGGGGCTGCTCTCACTGGCAGGGCAGGGTCAGATGCTAGGGGTCCCCTGTGTGAATAAAGGCTGGACTGGAGGGTAAGGCCCGAGGCTGGGAGATGGAAAAGAACCTCTGGAAACAGCCCCAGAGAGATGTGGGCAGCTGATGAAGAGAGACACGAATGAGCAAGAATGGCAGGATGTGTTCCTGACCATTTCTGGAGTAAAAGGGGTAGAAGTCTGTCTCAGGTCCGCAGTTGGAAGGGGCAGAGTCACCGATGGAAAGAGAAGGCAGGGGAGAGACTTGGGGTGACTTACTCCATTGGAGACATCCCAACTGAGCATCATCTTGGCTTTCTGCTCAGCCTCCTGGGTCCCATCTAACACAAGGCCAAACCCACCATTGATCACCTCACCCCTGCAAAAGACAAAAGAATTTCCAGGTCATTTCAGAGCCTGACCCTCCCAGAGCAGGAAGAAATGTATGTGAGTTTTGGAATGTTCTGGAAGTGTTGTTTGAGGGTGTGTTGTGTTTGGCCCCTGGGGTCAGAGTCTGTGTCCTCTTGACAACCTATAGATGCAGGAGCCTCACAGTTCTGTGCTGCCCATTCATGCCTCTATGCTTTACCCCATGACCCTGAGCCCACCTTCAGGACCCACTCACGTGTCATATCTTGCTTGATGTCTGGTCTCCTGAGTGTGACATGAACTCCTTTTCCTATGGTTCCTTGGGGGTATGTATGCTTCCTGGGTGTGGGGGAGGGTCTCTCGTATCACTCAGTTTTCATTCTTCCTGATTTTCTCTTTATGCTCCTTGTCTTCCTTACCTCTTCTTTCTACTTGTTTTAGACATATTTTGGGGTCCTGATTACTTGATTTGAAAGCTGAGTGCCCTTATTTTCAGCATTTTTTTGTTTTCTAATTAATGCATTTCTCTAAGTTCTGTTTTGACCACTTTCTCTCACAGGTGTGATAAGTTCTTGTGTTCATTTGTTTCTTGATAGATGTCATTTGAATTTTACTTGAGTATGTTAATGTTATTCCACTATCCACATTTGCTCTTCTGCTTTCTCCATCAGTCATGAGGACTCCATCCTTTCTGGCATCCCTGGACTTCCACCCTCATCCTTGACATCATTACCAATGGCTGTTAGACACACCAAAGTTACTACTCAACTCACATCACTATACTCCATGTGTCCTCTTCAGGTACACACTCAGAAAACATGGACCTTGCCAATAACCCAAGGCTCTACTGCCAAACACGGATGCCTGGAACCACAACATAGAGCTGCTTTTTGCTACCCAATGCCAGTAAATTTGCTCTTTTTCCTTCCCACACCCAGAAGGTGCATCTAGTTTCTCTAGTCTCAGATACTCCAGGACTGTCAGTTCTTACCTTCTCTGTCCAACCTGGATCCTACTTACAGTTTCAATCAGCTCCCACCAAGAAGGTGCAGAGCCCTCTGTCCCAGGAGCCACCAGTGCTCCCATTCCAGGCACAGAAGCTGCCCCTGCCTGACCCTCAAGTCTGTTGTTGATGCCTCCCTGCACCTGGCCAATCCTGTGCCTTTGACGAGGCTCCCAGCATGTCTCCCACCAGCCTCTAGTGTGGGATACTCTGACTAGATTTAAGATCATGACCATTCAACTGTCAGAGGCCGATGCTGGCTATCAGAGAAGAAGGCAGAAGATAGCAAAAGTCACCAGATGAAAACTCCCATATATCCGTTAACCATAGTGGTCTTTCTGAGTTTAGGACTACACCTTTCATATTAGGATCTGGAAGCTCAGATGGTCAGAGACCAAAGCTGCTCAGCTTCAGGTGTCCTCTGCAAACCTTGCCCACAGAGGAACCCTGACCATACTGAGCCCAGGAAAATGGGGTCCTAAAGACAGCATTGCTATCATTGCAGCATTTGAGGTTACTCACAAATGGTGTTTGAATAACTAATCCTTTGAGAAAAACATAAAAGTAGAACCCTATATCACACACAAAGAAAGACAAAATCCAGATGTTACTAAGGAAGGAAATATCTAAAATTACAAGATGAATAAAGAGAGTTTACGAGAACTTTCTTTTAAAGTCAAGAGTGGGGGAAGTTTTTTAAAGAGACATTTAAAAAAATGGACAATCAGAAGAAAATCCACTGGATAAAGATGTAAAACTCCCTTGTGAGGAGATGGAGCCTGCCCAGTACCCCTTCCAGAAAGCCCAGCTGTGAGGAGGGTGGTTACTCACTGCCCCCAACAATAACTCCTTACGGTCCTACTTGGGGCAGAAATTGAGAAATACCATGGCATGGGACCTGCCCATTTCTGCCTGAAGTGGTTCTTAGGATGGCTATCTGGGCTCTAGAGCTCCCTGCCAGTCTCAAGACTGTCAGGTCTGCATGGAAACAGAGGGCTCCCCCACCCAATCATTCTGCCTTATATCCACTTTCCCCAACTCTTCCTATCCCAGGTGGTCCTCCCCAATAACCCTTTTGCACTTCCCCAATCCCACCTTAGCATCTGTCTCCTGGAGAACCCAGTAAGCACAGATATTTAAAACAAAGTTCAAAAACAAGTGACATGAACACAATGCATCAATCTTATATCTAAAATAAATTAAAAATGCCTGGAAACTGATAAGAAAAAAGCACACAACTCAAAACCAAAAACCTCAGACCAGCCCTGGCTAGATGGCTCAGTTGGTTGGAGCACTGTCCCATACACCAAAAGGTTTGGGGTTGATCCTTGTGTCAGGGCATGTACAGGAGGCAACCAATCGATGTTTCTCACATTGATGTTTGTCTGTCTGTCTGTCTGTCTGTCTCTCTCACCCTTGTCTTCTTCTCTAAAAAAAAAATCAAAACATATTCTTGGGTGAGGATTAAAAACAACAACAACAAAACACCTCAGAGCTGTCAATTCAAATCAAAACAAGAATTTGTTACTTCTTCCCTTCCAGGCTGGTAATTCCCATGTTGACATCCAGTGAGTGATCACATTTAGTGTTGATAAGGTTATGCAAACAGGAATTTTTATATCAGGAAATTTGGTGGTAGCTATCAAAGCTTAAAACTCCCATTTTTTTGAACCAGAGATTGCAAATAGCATGCACATGACAGAGGTTTACATTTATGGGAGGTATGCGATGTGCCAAGTCCTTTTCTGGCTCTTTACAAGAGATTTGTGGTAGATTGGCACATGCATTTGTGGAGGCCTCCTGTAACCCCAACTCACTGTGACACCTGGGGAAAGATGTTTATCTCTTCTGGGTAGCACTTATTTCTTAGATGGGTGTGTTATGGCAGTTAGATGAGCTAGAATGCAAATTTCTTAGATCTCGAATATGTTATGCACTACATAAGCTTTGGCTATTATTAATTCATTTAATCTTCACCATTAACCTACAAAGTAGTTGCCATTATTACGAACATTTTATGGATGAGAAACAAAGCTCAACAGTTTAACTCGTATAGACAAATCAACTTCAGAATTCATGCTGTTAATTTTGCAACAAAACTGTACATACAAAGATGCTCCCTGCTGCACTGGGGGTGGGAGAGGTGAAAAAGGTCTGTGTGCACAGATGGTGGGAGCCCTCAATGCCTTTGCTACTTAGAGTGCTTTGGGCCAGCAGAAGCAGCATCATGGGAGCTCGTTAGAATGGCTGAATCTCACCCTCCCACCAGACCTCTCTAGTCAGATCTCCATTTTAACAAGCTCCCCAAGGATTCTTGTGCATGTTCAAGTTTGAGATGTCCTCTAAGAGGAAAAAATGTCAGTATCTGGATAAAGATGGTTGATCAAATATGTCAATTTAATCCTCAAAGACATAGGCTCTGGGGCTGGATCTGGGTGTGAAGACAGAAAGCACATCAGAAGATGAGACAGTGAACATGAAACACAACGAATGAGGAGAAGTCTCAACACCCAACAGTGAGGCCCTCCTCCTTCCACCCAGGTCCTAGAACTGACCACACCCTTCCTACAAGGGCAGGAAAACCAACCAGGCCTATCTAAAGGAGCAGACAGACAGCAAGGGCAGCTAGACAGACAACAAAAGGACAGACACCAAGTGAACAATAACAAAGAGAGGCTCCAAGAAAACAGAGTCAAGAAAGGAAGCAGAAAATGGCACAGAGCTAACATTGATCATCAGGAAACATAAAATATAAAAATGAGGCCAATGAACAATTCACAAAACTAAAAGCAAATCAAGCAATAGCAAGGTAAGCTTATAACTTAGAAACATGGATTTCCATACAACAAAGAAAAAAAAATAAAGCTGGAGTTGGAAGTGGTTTCCTCCTGGAATAGGAATGGTGGTGGGACAGATTGTTTTTCCTGCTGATCTTTGCAGACAGCTTTGCAGGAGTATCTGACAGATTAAATTATAAACTTGTGAGCCTAATGAACTCCAACAGGAATCTGAAGGCTCCTAAAAGAGCCCTCAAAAACAGCCAGGATACAAGGTGTTGATGCTCTCATCTTGCCAGCTTGCATCCCTGTCCACAGAGCCTAGGGGCAGCCTTGGGGCTGGGAGCAACTGGGGAATTTGCATTCTCTGTTCTGGGAGTCCAGAGTACAGTGGGTTAGACTAAGAAGTGTCCTGCCTGAATTCTGGTTCAGCTGTCTCCTACTCTTAGGCCCTCATGTTGTTGACTCTCAGCTGCTTTGCTCTTCTTGCCCTCTGTTGTCCCATTGGCAATGATGAGTGCATCCTGGGAGGCAACCGATCTGGGTCCAGATCCCAGCTCTACCACCAGTTCTGCGGCCTTGGGTAAGTTACTCCCTGTTCAGAGTTGCTCTTTACCTCCAGAACCCTCTCAGTAAATCCAGTGTCAAAAGGCCAGGTATGCAATAACCAGGCACTCTTCTTGTGTCCTGGTATTCTCCATCCTTTGTATCAGAAAGGAGATGCATTCCGGTTACACTTTCCATTAATTAGAGCCACCCCATTGAGCTGTAGCTTGAAATTCAAGCCAACCCGGCCCATCAGAATGCCCTGGGAAACTCTGGAGTGCAAGGCCAGCCTTGATCTGGGTGGCCAAAATGGGCTCAGAGGTCAGTCCAAAGATAGCCAGGCCCAGGAGATGCCTCCTTTTCTAAAGCCTCCATTCCCTCTGCTGCTTTGGGTAGTCAGGAATTCAGCTTGTCCTGGGAGCTTCCCCAAGTGATTCCACAGAGGCAGACCCTATGCAAGTGCAGTTCCTACAGCATCTTAACCTCTTGGTGTCTCAGTTTTCTCATCTGTAAAATGTGTTTTCCCTCTAAAATTAGGTGAAAGAGTGGATTCAGAGTCTAGAAAATGCTTGCCACAGTGTCAATTGGCATAAGTATTAGTTATTTATTATTAACAGCAGAGATGATATTGTAATTTATAATAAGAAATACATATTTGGTCTTCATCCCATTTGTGGCGCAGAACTCCTAAAACCCTTGGAATTCCTAAGTGTGGAGAACAACAAAGATGTATTTTGTTATCTTAATGAGGTGACTTGTGGACCCCATACCTAAGGGTGAGGGTTGGTTGCCAGGGGAACCAACTGGGAATAGAGTGAAGGAACTTTCAGTCCCACCCCTAGACTTCCAGGGATGGGGGACAGGCTGGAGGTTGAATTGATCACCAATGGCCAGTGATTTAATCAATCATGCCTAATGATGATGCCTCCATAAAAACCAAAGAAGATTGGGGTTCAGACAGCTTCCAGGTTGGGGAAACAGAATGCTTCTACATGCCACTGTGTGGGCCCCAAATTCTGTAAAGACAGAAACTCCCTTGTTGGGACCTTGCCCTTTGTTTCTCTTCATTGGACTGTTGCTTTGCATCCTTAAATCTCTTTCGTAATAAATCAACAATCTAGTTAGTAAACAGGTTTCCTGAGTTCCGTGAGCCACTCAAGGAGGGGGCCTTAGGACCCTCCAATCTGTAGAAGATCAGTCAGAAGTAGGCAACAACCTGGGCTTGCAATTTTAAGTGGAATAAGAACCTGTGGGATCTGAGGTTATCTCCAGGTAGGTAGTGTCAGAATTGAGTTGAATTTTAGGTGTTGGAGAAAATTGCTGGGTGGTGTGAGAAAACCTCCACATGTTGGAAGTAGAATTATATTGGACATCTTCAGCCAAAATGAGGTCCTCCCAGAAACCACAAATTTCCTAATAGTGCAGACTAGAAGCAGGACTGGCCAGGGCAGAGCCCTCAGCCAGCAACCCAAGGGAGATGAGAACTCAGGTCTCCTGCCTCCTTGCCCATCTGACCTGGGAATCTTGGGTGGAATAAAAAGACAGCCCTGTGAGGATTTCTGAGGAAATATCTATGAATACAAAGTGAAAACTGATGTAAAAAGGGCAGTCATTATTCTTACAGTTTTTGTGTCCTGGTTGAGGGGTGAGACCCCGAAAGGAAGAGTGGTTTGTTCAAGACACTCTCCCACCCATCCCCCTCAATGTTCTGTTCCTCCAACTTCCAGCTTATAGGAGGAAAATATCACAGCAAAGCTCTCAGCAAAAGAAGCTTGGGGGAGGCAGGGCCCAGGACCCTCAAAGGAATCCCTGAGCCTTCCACAGGAGCTTGCATCCCCACCACCATTTTCCAAATCTTTCTTACCAGCCCACGCCCCCACCGTTGTGAAGAGCGACCCAGGTGGCTCCTCGAAAGGCATCACCCACGAAGTTCTGCACGGCCATGTCTGTGGGAATAAAAGCCACAACCTGTCATTCCCTGAATGAGGTGGGCCAGGGCCAGGGCCAGACCAGGCTCTGGCCAGTGGATAAGTGGGCCCCATTGACTGAGCCAGCGTCATTCAGGCCGGAAGGATAGATAGGGAACTAGGGACAGATGACTCTAGAAACAGCAGTAATTTATCTTTGCAAAGCTGAGCAAAAGCAAAGAAATTGACAAATGCTCACTCACCCACTATTATCCTTCCCTATACTTATGCTCTCTAGTACTGAATGCCAGATAAAGTGCCCCAGAAGCAGAAAGAATTAAAAAGCAGGTGGTAGTGTTTTTAGCTTAGAAAAGTAGAAAGACAAAGAGTATCCCTCCCATCCTTAAAACAAACAAAAGAATGGGAGAGGGGTTATAAACCACAAATTAATGATTTATCTTGACCGTATCAGAGAACCAAGGTACCAGGGCAACTAACTAATTTGAAATATGGAGAGAGGTAAGAATTTGCACAGAGAAACAGAGCCCAACCTGGTCACCTTACAAGTGTTTAATAAAGTGCTGAAGGATAAGCATGAGCCCTAGGACTATGAAGCCCCATGGACATTGATATAAGGGGGTTTGTACTCTCTGGCAGGCTCTTCCTCCAAAAATATCACTGGGTGCTCACAGAGAAGATCACAGAGAATTCTGACAATGCTTTTTTCTTGGTGTTGGCCTATGAAGATTAGAAAGTGCCATGAGCCAAGATATCCAAGAACTGCAGGTCTAGAAGCTGGAAAAGGCCAGAAAACAGATTCTGTCCTAGAGCATCCTACAATGTCATAGTCTGGCCAATGCCTTGACTTTGGCCTATTAAAATTGACTTCAGGGTTCTGGCTTCAGAAGTGTAGGAGAGTACATCTGGGTTATTTTATCCACTAAGTTTGTGGTAATTTATTAGAGCAGCCCTCGGATACAAATATAAATTATGTTAACAGCAGAGAATTTCAGAACCAGGCATATTATCAAAAATAAAGGGGGACATTACATAATAATAAAGAGGTCAATTCTCCAAAAAGATATAATGAACCTAAATGAATGTACACCCAACAACATAGCTTTAAAATATGAACCAAAATGGATAAGAACTGAAAGGAGAAATAGAAGAATCCACAAATAGAGTTGAAAACTTCACCACTCCTCCCTCAGTAATTTATAGAATAGACAGAAAATCAGTAAAGATAAGTGTCCTGAACAGCATTACCAACCAACCTGATCTAATCGACATTTTAAGAACAATTCCCCAAATAGCAGCAGAATACACATTGTCAAGTGCCCCAAGATAGAAAACATGCTGGCCATAAAATCCTGAACAAATTTAAAAGAACAGAAATGATACACAGTGACTTCTTAGACCGTAATGAAATTAAGTTAGAAGTTAGTAACAGAAAGATATCTGAAAAATTCCCCCAAACTTGAAAATTAAAAAACATACTTCTAAATAACCCAGAAATCAAAGAGGAAGTTCCAAAGGAAATTTTAAAATATTTTGAACTGGGTGAAAATGAAAATATATCATATAAAAATTTGTAGGATGCAGCTAAAGCAGTGTTTAGAGATAAATTTATAGCATTAAATACTTATATTAGAAAAGAAAGAGGTATCAAAGCAGTAACCCCAGCTTCCTTGCAGAAAGTAGAGCAAATTAAATTCAAAGCAAGCAGAAGGAAGGACATACTAAAGATTAGAGCACAAATCAATAAATTTGGAAGCAGAGAAGCAAATGAAAGAAAATCAAATAAACTAAAAGTTCTCCTTTGAGAAAATCAATAAAAGTGATAAACTTATAGCCAAACTGCCCCCCTCCAAAAAAAAGAAGACACAAATGACCAATATGAGGAGTGACAGAGAGGACATCACAACTGACCCCATGGACAGCAAAAAACTAATAAAGGAATATAACTCTATACCATACATTTGATAACTTTGAAGAAATGGACCAATTCCTTGAAAAAAAGATGGTGTTCTTGAGTATCTGCCTCCTTCTCTTGGGAACCTGTCCATAATCAAAGGAGCCCTCATGTGCCAGGAATGAGAAAGTTACCCCTGGAATAGAACTTGTTAGCCTATGTGATGGCGATAATATAGCAGTTGTACTAGTTGTATCAGTGATGAAAGCAGCAGAAGCTAACTGTCACCAAACACTGGCTATGGGACCTTGATATAACACTAGATATTTGTATATTCATTTCATTCTTCACAACAAACCTTTGAAATATGTACTATTGTTATTTCCATTTTACAGATGAGGACATTGAGGTTCAAAGACTTAAGTACCTTGCTGAAGGTCACCCAGCAATTAATGGGGCCAGAAGCATACCCAAGACTAGGGCATCCAACTGTCCTAGCTTGCCTAACTCTAGCCCAATTTTAAAACTAGAGATCCTTGTCCCAGAATCCCCTCTCTCTGTCCTGGGTTGGTCACTCTATGTCATGTCTCTCAAATTCCAGCACATTTTTTTGTAACATCACGACTAACTAAATGAATCAACTGATTTTTAAATATAATCCAAATCCAACATTAAAATTAAAAAAAAATTTTTTTTGTTCTCCTCACCTGCACAGAAGGCAGAGCCATCATAAATGTTGGAGGTCTCCCTAAAGGGACTGTCTGTGCCACTCACATCATGGTGGTCTCGGCTCAGGACTACCGGCGCCTGCAGTGTGCAAGGATATGAGATGTCAGCTTGGAGAAGGCCACACCAGAAGCTCTTCAGACACTTCCCCCTGGAAAACAGACCTTTAGCAAGAGGAAGCATGGATGTTTTTGATGTCTTCCTGCAGCTACGAATAGATTCTTCTTATTTTGACCCTTTCTATTGTAAAAGCCCAGGAACCCCCACATACTATGCATGTGTTAGTTCACTGAGTCATCTCAATAACCTTATCTAGGCAGGCATGACTGTTATGCCCATTTTATAGAACAGAAGACTGATGCCCATAGACGATAAGACACTTGCCCAATGTCACAGAGCTGGTAAGTGGGTAGGCTGGGATTTAAAGCCACACATGACATACCATAGTCTGGGCTCTCCCCTCAGGCAGGCTGGCCCCTGAGTCTGTGACACTACTGGGTGTCAGTTTTGCCAGCCCTCCTCAATATTCATGAGCTCCCCATGTAGGAGGAGGTAGATTGCCAAAAGGGTAACTCCCCATTGCTCTGAATCAAGAAGACCTCCTCTCCCTTCCTTGGACAGACCAAGTTTGCTTTCACCTCTCTACCTTTGCCTTGGAACCACCTGCCCCAGATATTCTGGCACCTTATGGATATTCAGGCCTCAGTTCTACACCAGCAACTCAGAAAGGCCTGCCATGGCCACCCCATCTAAAGTCACTGCTCACCCCACCCCATTACACCCACCTTGTGACCGCAACTCATTTTCTTCAACAAAATTCATCACTATCTAAAATTCTCCCTGAATTTACACCTTTAGTTAAAATACATTGTTAGTTTCTCTTTGCTAGTAAATAGGTCGAGGCAAACACTTAGAACAAGCCTGGCATAGAGGAAGTGTTCAATCAATTGACAGATAAAAAAATTAGGGAAGGAAGTTAGGGAGAATTAAAACACCCAGCTCTCAGTGCTGATCTCTAACCCCAGCCTGGGTGTGAGTATGCCAAGAGGGACACACTCAGCCAAGCTATGCTGACTTTCCTCATGAGCACCATGAGTTTTCAAGAAGTATCGAGCAGTGGTACCCTCCGGTGCTCCCTGAGAAAGGCCGAGGCTGCTAGCCTTGTTGCCAGTGCTACCCAGAACCATCCATAGGGACAGCCTTCACTTTCATCTATTTTGATTTCCTTTTCATGTCTGTTCATGAATAGTCCTGATGTTTCTAAATAGAGGGCTGTCATAAGAACTCTGCATGTGAGCCTACAAAATATAGTGAGAGACCCCTCTGAACGAGTATGTCCAGGTTTCCATGTTCTCCAAGGTTGGCAGGACTGACTCAGAGGAAGATAGGAAGTTTATCATGATTTAAAAAAGATAATTCAACAAAGATATATAAAATACTAATGTGGAAACCAACTCATCTAATCCTCACATCCATGCTTTGAGGTTAATATGATTCTCTTTTAACAGGAGGGAAACTGGAGCTCAGAGAGGGCACTTGACTTGCCCAAAGTTTCAAAGGGACCAGAGGGAGAGCCTGGGTTTGAGGGCAGACCTCATCTCTCCCTTCCGCCAGCTATTGACCATCAGCTAACATACACAGATGATGGGGCCTTGCGGCAGTGTTAGTGCTGACAGAAAGGAGCCAAAGGGAGGCCCCCACCAGCAGCACAGGAAATGTCACCTTGATCTTCCCATGGGCAATGGCTTGGTTAAAGGCCACAGCAATGGCCACACGACCTTTTTGGTCTGAGTACAGGATCCTTGCCTGGGAGCCCACCACCTGCAGAGAGAAAGGTAAAAAGGAAACACGTCAGTGACGTGGTGATATGGGAGAAACTTAAGTTATACATCCCACCAACAGCCAGATGGTTCCTGGAGGACCCCTTAGATATGTGGTAGCCCTAAAATTGGTGGGCCTGAGGCAAGCCCTCACACCTAGCCTACCAGACAGCCACACCAACTCCTCGCATGTCCACCTGCAGTCCACCTCTGAGACCCTAACTCACCCATCTCCAGGGATGTTATCTATTATGAGCATTACCCTGTTCAGGTCTCTCCAGTAATAATATTAATACCATCTAATGCAGTTTTTCATTTTGCCTGGTACAATTTCAAGAACTTTATATAGGTCTTCATTTGTGAGTTTTATGAGGAACATGTAATTATCCTAACTGTAGGCTCTATTTATTGATGAGGAAACTGAGGCCCAAAGAGGTGAGCAACCTGCCCATGGTTACCCAGCCTGTGGGTGGCATGCTGAGTACCTACACACTAAGCCACCAAGATGCAGCACCTTTGGGGAGAAAGGAATGGGAGTGCTGTTCTTTAAGGGGCACAGGGTTTTAGTTTGGGGTGATAAAAAAGTTTTGGAGATGATGGTGGTAATGATTGCACAACAATATGAATGTACGTAATGCCACTGAGTTGCACCTAAAAAATGGTTGAAATAGTAAAATTTATGTTAATGCATATTTTACCAGAATTGAAAAAAAAATCATCTGAAACCAGACGTCTGTAGTGCTGAGGCTGAGAAACCCTGGATTCTTCAAACAGAATGCAGGTGTTTCCCTCAGCTGTTTGGCCAACCTGTCCAGGAATGGACAAAAGGTGGGAGGAGCCAGCAATGGGCTAACCTTGCACCTGCCCATGAGCCTTAAATGCAGAGTTCAGTCTTCGCCGCTTTGCTTGCAACCAGCCTAGTGCTTCTTCATTCCTCTTGACTTTCTATCCAATGGCCTTACTTTAATCTTACCAGTTGCCTTAAATCCTTATTGGGGAAACTATACTATAAATAAAATATTCATATAAACAGCCAACAGCCTTGGACATCTTGGACTCTGGCTAGTCACAGAGACTCCTGTCTGCACAAGGGGTTTTGTGGCCAAAACATGCATACAAACCACTGGGCAAGGAGACAGCAGCTTAAATGGACATCGTTGGACTACAGAAGCACAGGAAAGGGAGCAGTGCTCCTCCTGGTCATGTGACCCTCAAGCCAAGGTCCCACTAGTCCAGATGTGGTGGAAATATCTGGCCACTGGGGGCTGTGCCAAAGGCATGTGAACCAAATGCCCACTTTTTATTTTGTCCTTTGTACACCAAGTCTGCTGCCACATCAGGGCTTGTGCTTTGGTGGGTCCCTCTGCCTCCCCTGACTATCATATGGCTACTCCTTCACTCCCCCCAACTTCCAGCATTTAGATCTGAACTCACAAGTCAGTTACTCAGAGATACCTTCATGATCCATCAATATAAAGCAGTTCCTACCTCACATTATGTTCATGTTCACACTTACATGAGCATAGTCACAGTCACAGAAATGAAGCCAGGGCAACCCTGGACCTTTTGACACCTCATGCACTAACTGCCATAGAGGGCCCGCCCCAAGCACACCACCATAGCCAGGTGCACTTGTCATCACCAGCATCTCCACTGTACAGATGAGACACCAGGTTCAGAGAGGCCAAGACACTCACCCAAGTCACACAGCTGAGAAGCCAGGAGGCCTGCCTCTTGGGCCCTTCAGAGGCAGCTTCTCAAGAAAACTATTTGTAGAGTAACTGGGTGAACAGTGACTTGACTAGCCCTGGTCACTGTCCCAGGCCACCTTTTGAAGGGCCCCCAACTTCTCTGCCCAGCTGGTCCCTGGATGAGGTAGCTGCTGACTCTAGTGGGTCTGCCACCTATTCAGTCTCATGTGGGTATGCTGGGCACCCTCTTGGGTCTGTCATCTACTAGCCAGGCGGGCAGTCTTGTGGCCCACGTCTGCCCTCTACCAGGTTAAGCCCTCACCAGCCGGTGCTTGGCAGCCTCCCGGATCCAGCGAATGTTGTCCTCATATTGCAGCTTCACAGCTGGGTTCACTGCAGGGAGAGAAGGGGAGGAATGTCACAGGCACCTGAAGCCCCTGACTTGAGGTGAGGTGCATACCCTCTCTCTTGCAGGTTGCTCAGCATAGGTAACTGTTCTTCACCCATCACTGGAATCTAGACTTGGGGCCAAGGAGACTCTCCTCAGCGCCACACTAGGCTATCTGATTTTTGAAACCAGCAATGCCAATAGTCATGTCAGTTAATGAACAAAAGTGTGCAGTCCCCTGTGTGATACATTTATTCCCTTAACAAACATTGAGTGCCATGCCAAGCACTGGGAAGATAGTTACAGACTAGGAAGAAAATAAGAAAGTGGTGAAGTAGTCACTAGATTGGTGGGTCAGGAGGGCTAAAGTCCTCTCTGAGGAGGTAATGGTCAAGCTATGTCCTAAATGTTAAGGAGGACCAGCTATTGTGCATAAAGATTTGAGGAAACACCCCTCTAGGCAGAGAGAACAGCAAGTGCAAACACCCTGAGGTAATAAAAAGCTTGCCCATCCAAGTAAGACAGGTCAGTTGGCTAAAGTATGGAGGGTGTACAGAGGAGGGTAGTAGCCCTGGAGCTCAGGTGCTGCTCCTACTAGCTCAGGAGAGAAGACTGTTAAATCTCCAGGAATTGTTTGAGCCAGTGGTTAACACAGACATCATTAAATTTCAATTAAATGAGCTCACACTTTAAAAAAGATTATTAAAAAATATGATAATGCTCGTAAGTCATTACTACTTAATTTACCACCATTTAGGAGGATCTATGCTCTCAAGGTTATCTGCCTAGTGTAAATACTGCAACTGTTCCAATTGGAGCCCCACTTGAAATAAGCAACCCTGACAGTATTCAAACCTTGGCCATCAACAGATGCAACAGCTCAGGGCTTCTTCCTGCAGGGCTGATTGTTGAACATCCATCAGCCACCTGAGGGCTGTTCAGTTGTCCTCACACCAGGAGGCCTCAGGAGGCCTCTGACCTGAAGATTCCCAAGACAAGGCCCCTGCTTCCCTTTTTTTTTTCCTCCTGAGGCCTCCCCCTGCCTGGTTCTTCCCATATAGGTGGCCCCACCCACTCTCAGCCTAGTTCCAGCACTGGATACCTGTAACCCAGTTTGCACCCACCCCCTAGAACCCAGATGTGGATAGCAGGGAGAAAATGGCCCCTGGGGATTTAAAACAAGTGGCAAAGACTGAACAACCCATACAGGAAACCACCTGGAGAGATGGCCATCTCTGGACCTGTAGAAAAGCTGTAGAGAATTGAGGATAGGAGCTCTGACAGCTGAGTAAATTTCATAAAATAACTGCCTTCTCTTCTTCAGGTCATAAACGACATGTTAAATCCACAACACAAGAAGGGACTATGGTTAAACAACCTCCTCCATCCATGTGAAAAGGCAGAACCAAGGCTCCATATCAGAAAAACCATAGATTGATTGGAGAGGCTCTGGTACGAAGAGGCATGAAATAAGCAGAGTGGGCCCGGTAGATGTAGAAAGCCAAAGGCTCCGAGGGGGCACAGGGGCACAGGAGGCAGCTACAAAGAACCAGAAGCACTATTGACAAGCACAAACTGGAAGCTGAGTACCCATTTGCCCACAAGGGCCAGGGAGGGAATGAGGAGAGTGGGTGGAGGAAGGGCTGCCCTGCAATACCAGGCAGGCTTGTTAGGGACATTTTGGGGGCCACCCACCCTTGAGCATGTCCAACCTGACAGCCTTACCTCCACCAGCAATGGCCTCCTCCAGCACAGATGTGGCCAGCTGATCAGTGACTGCCAGGTCCTGAGGGTCTCCAGATGTGCATACCCAGCGGAAAGGCCCAAATCCCTGGGAGAATATATCCCTGCAAGGACAAAATGCCTAGTCACGTTCTCAAGCTGGCTGCACTCACCTGCGGGACCATGATCCAAGGAGGGGAAGCCTACATGTATTCCAGAACTGAGAAGGAGGTGAAGGCTGTGTGTGAGCTGGGGTGTGTATTAGGGGGCATTGTGTGTGGGATGTGTAATAAATTGGGAGAGGTGGCTTCAATGTCCAGAATTGTTGCTGGAAGCCCCTAAGTCACTACCTGGACAGGAAGTTTCAGAAGCCCTGCCTCCTCTAGTCCCCCTCCATCCTCTCAGTCCCCCTCCCCCTCAGTCCTTCTCTCTCCCCTTCAGTTCCTTTCCCTCCTTGTCCACCTTTCTCCCCTTCTGCCTCTTCCTCTCAGCTCCCTCCCTCCTCCACCAGAATCCCCCTCAGTTTTCCTCCCTCTCCCTTACTCCCCTTCAGTGTCCACTTCCATTTCCTGCACCCTCCTACTTCTTTATCCTCCACCCCCTTCTTACCCCTCAGTCTTCATCTGTCCCCTCCTTCCCTCTACCTCTCTGTCTCCCTTCTCAGACCTGCAGGGGCAGGGAGCTGCAACACAGACAAGCAGAAATTCCTTAAGCTGCTGTTATTGACAAACCAACAATCAAAACTAAATAATTGGGAGAAAGAGAAATTGTGGGGACTTGGCCAAATTCGCCTTAGGTAAACTGACCTTCCTATGTGAACATCATGCACTGAGAGACAACAGCCTATTCCTTTCCTGGGCTCCCACACTAACCCAGCCCTCTGCCCTCCTACTTCCCTCCCCAGAGAGGACAGTGGCCCAGCCCACTCTGGCTCTGCCCCCACCCACAGTGAACCTCAGAAGGAGATGTTTGCCTTCTTACCTCCTTCCTTTTCTGGTCCTGTCTTGCCACACTAGGAGCTGGCACTCTTCTAAAAACATCCTGAGGCCTTCCCTCCCCTGCCCCTGTATTGCTTGAGCCCAAACTCCTGGTCTTAGCCTCTAAGCCTCTACCCTCAGTGAGTCTCCCTCTGGGTACATCCCACTCCTCCCTACTTGTCATGGGCCACTGGCTTCCCCAGACCTGCCTGGTACAGCCAGGTAGGCACAGGGTCTACAAGGAACAGCAGGTCTTGCCCTCCATGGATCAAACTATCAGCCACCCACTTGGGCCCACGGCCATGGCTATGGGAAGGAGAGCAGTTAGGATTGTGGGTACTAAAGACTGAGGAGTTCACCAGAAAGTAACCTCAGCTCTAGGCCCCTGAAACCTCCTTGTCCTCTCATTGAAGCCCTGTACAAGGTCTCTCATGACTTCAATTTCTCTTTACCTGCATTTTGTGGTGGAATCCCATGACCTGGTGTGGTTGCCACTCTGTGGCCTCAGCAGTAGTTAGAGGACAGGCTTTTCTGACTGGAATGTTCAGGACCCAGACACTGGAAGGGGCCTCATCACTTACCCCATAATATGCTGGACATATGAGGGGTAGCGGAACTCAGTCCTTTCAGCACCTTTCTTTTCCACATCAGCTCCTGTAGACAGAGCACCCACACAGAATTACCTGGAGGGGGCTGAGGGCCCAAGGTGAGGACATACACCACAATCCAGATGACAATTTAAACATAGCCCAGGGAAAGACTGTGGAAGCACTCTGTCCAGAAAGTGAACTATCGCCAGGTGTCTTTTCAGACGAGATTGGGCGCGTTCAGGGTGGTATGGCCGTAGACCCCAGTTGTCTTTTCAGATAAAAGAAGAGAAAGCAAGTGCAGGCTGGAGCCCATAGGCTCTTGGTATGGAGCAGGGCAGCAGGTACACATGCTGTTGCATGTGTATCCAGACAGGCATCCCAGAGCCTGCAGACTCTGGGGTAGGGGAGAGTTGGTGCCAGAGATGGGGCTGAGAAGGAGATTTTCCAATGAATCTTTTGTACCGTCTGAACTTCACAATCCATGAATGAATCACCTATTTTACAGAAAGAAGTTTCCTTCACAAAAAAGTAAAGCTGCAATTTTTTTCAATGGAGCCTATACCTAAACATTGTACCCATTCTCTTTATGGTGCTTTATATTTTTAAGGCAAATGGAGAAACTGAGGTCAAAGAGGTCAAGCTGGCAGGACCAGCCCCCAGAAGGCCAGGCAGGGGCACAATGAAACCTGCATGCCCTGGCCCCTGCTTGCCCCAGATCCCTGCCAGGACAGCCCTGGCTGAGGGGAGTGGGCCTACTGCTTGCCTAGGGAGGATGGGTTCCTCAGCAAGCCACCCTTCTCTCACCTGCTCTCTGGGCTTCCAAGAGGAAAGCATTGCCATAGTCCCAGAAGAAGAAGTTTTCCTTGGCCAGCCGGTTGATGGCTGAGACTTGCCTCCTCAGGCTGTAACAGGGCAGCAATCAGCTTTCAGTTCTAGCCACTGGTAAGACTCTGAAATGGGCCCTCTCTGCCCCGTGACTGTCATCCCCAGCCTTACCCCATGGAGGTCAGCCATCTCTGCTGACTTCCATCCAATCTGACAGAGGACACAGAAGCTCAGAGAGGTTAAGGGTGCTACCCAAGGCCACATAGCTGGCCACTAGAGAACCAGGTAGAGGCCATAGCTGCTTAGTCCAAAAGCTCCTTCCAGTGTGCAGCCCTCCCACACTGTGCCCCTGCCTCACACCCCAAGCAGCCCTGGGACCTACATCACCTTTCCTGGACCAGGCCCTTGAATGTGGCAGGATCAGAGGCCATGAGGCTCTGGGCCTCTGCAAAGCCAAGCTGCACAGGATAATAACCACCATTGAATGGGTTGTGGCAGGATGTCTGGTCTGACCCCAGATCCACCAAGAGCTCCCCCGTCATGTCCAATTCATGGACCAGGCGCTCCCTGGAGAAAGATGTGGGCTAAGTCAATGCAGACCAGCACCTGCCCAGGGCATGAGCAGGCAGAAACTGGGGCCCAAGTTTAGGGCCTACCCAGGAGGAGTTGTTGCATATTTTCCAGCCCACACATCCAGTAGCCAGAGACTGAAGCTAATCCTATATCCTTCCCCATACTCCTCTCCCCGCAAAGAACACCTGCAGGAAGGCTACTGTGAGCTCAGGCCAGGATATAGGCTGTGAAACCTGAAAGCAGAGCCTCAAGTCAATACTTGAAGCTATGTTCCAGGAACACCTGGCCACTATTGGGACATTGGCTGGAGGGAGAGGTTCACTTGGGGTCCCCAAGGCTGCTGACTCCCATCCCTGGACTTACCAAAGATCCACCACATTGCCATGGTAACCAAGGCTGAGTACCTCCTTTTTTTCCTTTGCTTCCCTACAGGGCAAAAGAGCAACACAAATAGCTCCATCACACTTGTCCATAGATGTCCACCCTGGCCAACACCTAGGGGACACCCAGATGGCTAGAATGCAGAAGACCCAAGAGGCCACCAAAAGTATCATGTGCAAGTGTAGGGCCTGAGACTCAGCGATGTATGATGTGTGTCTTTTGAGAACCCATACCATAAGGGAAATGGCAGACTTGAAAACCCCAGACAGGATAACTGAGGTGACAATAGTAACAACCCTTCCTGAGGCAATACTTAGAATTAAGGTTATCGCTGTTAGAACTCTAATAAGGATGATCCTAGAACTCTCTCAGGGTGATCCTCAAATCATCAAAAGTCACTGAAGTTGATTCAAAACATTAGTTGGAAAAATGAAAGTACAAAAAAGAGTGTATTTTGGGAAACAGAAAATGTGAATATATAAAGCCTGTCACAAATATGAGAGGTATCAAAAAGCAACAGTAAGTGGGGCAGTGTGGCACCCACTCAAAGATGCAGACTGACTGAAGTCTTTGTTTAGCAGAGATGCTAGCAGGGGCCAGACATGCTCCTCTCAGGTACACCAGGATAACAAAACAGGAAAAGGACACATGGTCCCAGAGTACTAAGGGACACTGGAGAAGGAGGACTGCATTTCAGCCTAAGGGCCAGAATGGTACTGTGAGTTCCCCGAGGATAACTCCATTCCTATCTGTGTCTTCTGTAGCTCAGGGAGCAGAAATGTGATGAGAAAGGCTGCTTGTGGCAGTTTGTTAAACTGATTTTAAATGATTGTGTGTGTGTGGCTGTAGAAATTAAGAAATTAATCTGGCCCAAACTTTGTGTGAGTGAAAAGAAAGAAAAGGCAAATGGAAGAGGTATATTTAGGTATGGCAAGAATATAAGAGTGGTTGGGAGTGTGCCTGAGTGCGTATGTAATGTTCATGTTTCCCCAATAGATTCAGTGAGCATCTACTATGTGCAAGGCTCTGGACTGAGCACTGAGGTCACAAGAGTGAGAAACACAGACACATTCTTTGCAAAACTATGGCTGAATAGCCCTGACTGGTGTGGCTCTGTTGGTTGGGCATTGTCCCACAAAGCAACAGTCAGGGCACATGCCTGGGTTGTGGGTTCAGTCCCCAGTTGGGATACATATGAAAAGCAACCAATCAGTGTTTCTCTCTCACACTGATGTTTCTCTCCCTCTCTTTCTCCCTCCCTTTCCCTCTCTCTAAAAATAAGTAATAAAATCTTTTTTAAAAACCTATTTCTGAATATTGGGGGAAAGCAAGGGCATAATTGAAAATCTGTTAGAACCAAGAGCCTGACCACCAATGTATGCAAGCTCAGGGGTTTCCTACACATCAGCAAGAAATAGACATTCCTGCTATACTGTCTCTGAGTGGTAACTTGGTGTGGTGGCCACCTGTGGCCAGGTGTCAGGCATTGAACAGGTCTATGGAGAGCAATCCAGCCTGTGGGCCCCTTCCCATGGTCTTCCCACTTTCAACGCTCACTTCTAGGATGTTGTACCTGAGTCTTTCAATGCACTGGTCCAAGTTGTCAGTCACTTCCATCAGCCAACCTTGCTGGTGGCGTTTTGTAAGAGCTGCTTTATCCACCTGTGACCAAGAAACACAAGCCACCTAGTCTCAAATTATCCCAGGGTGTGTCACCCTCCACTAGGAAGGTGCATCCTCCAATGTAAATCACCCAGTTTTATAACAGTGTCAGGGCAGACAACTACCAATATTCATTCTCCCTCCTGCCTTTTTAATCAATATGACCTGGGTTGTGTTTAGGGTAACACTGTGCTCAGCCCCAGGGGATGAGCCATGTCCACGCTAATCACAAATATCCTTTCCACTGTCTCCAGCTCCCTTGTAGATAAGAATATCCATTTGATCCAATACTGACCAGAGTTTTGAGACATTATTTTTTGGCTGAAATAGATTCAGCCATAGCCGCTACTTCTCTTTCTCCTTTCTTCCTTCCTTTACTATAGATGGGATGGCTGGAGCTGTGGCAGCCATTTTGTACCCACAAAGGAAGACCAAAAGAATGTAGAGAGATTGGCCCTGAGTTGCTGAACCAATGCCAACATTGTTGGTTACATGAGAAAAATAAAACCTTATTTATGTGAACTGCCATAGCTTGGTTTTCTGTTACCTGTAGACAAATGGGCGTCTAATAAGTACAGGTATGCACATCACAGGTTTAGTATCAACTAAGTGCAAATCACACTGGTGTGTATCACCAAGGCTTTTCTTAGAGCCACTCACCTTCTCTTCCAATTTCCTTGCCTGTCCTTGGCACTACCAAAGAAAGCTGTGACAGCCACTGGGTAAAAGCTTCTGTACTCCCCTCTAATGATGGGCAGTTCATCTGCTCCCTACACCTGACTGCCAACTGTCTGAGTCAGGCATGCCTATTTATTCATAACTACTTATCATCTCCTAGCTATATTCCAGGTTTACAGTGTGGTAACAGAAGCTTACCCTACAGAAGGTCAGTTTCATGGGACAGCATCAACAGGCATTGACCATGGAAAATGATGGGCACTTTGAAGGCAGAAGGGGTATACGCCCTGGGAACCCTCCATGGAAGGCTTTGTGGAGGGGATGAGGGAGGGAGCAAGGGAAGAGAGTGGTGTGAATGTGAGTGATTCTTGAATGAGGAAGGATGGAGGTGGACAAGGACGAGGACTCAGTGCTCCCAGCATGTTCACCTCTGCTATTACACCAATGCATCCCACGATGACTGAGGCTTTGGCCTGGGCCCCACTCATTCCGCCCAGTCCAGAGGTGACAAAGACTTTCCCAGCAAGGTCATTGATACCCAGGTACCGACGACCAGCATTCAACAAGGTGAGCTGCAGGGAGAGGAGTTGGGAACTCAGTGTCCACTTTGGGCATGGTTCACCTCCCATCCCCTGACGCCAAGGATAACCCCCGTCTCTTACCACTGTGCCATGGACGATTCCCTGGGGACCGATGTAGCAATAACTGCCTGCTGTCATCTGGCCATACCTGACCACAGGGAAAGCAAGCAAGGGGTGAGCCCAGGGCCAGCCCCCCACTTTTGGTGGTTTAAAATTCATTTTTAATTACCCCCACATGCATTAATACATTCTCCTTTAAAAAAAAGAAAATATTTCAGAAAAGGTTACAGTCCCCCATTTTTGGTCTCCTCTGGCCTCTGAAGTCTCTAATAAACAGATTTCATTCTCTTAAAAACTGTAATGTTATTGGTAAAATCACACTGGAGAATATTTAGCCATATTGACAAAAGTTGAACATGACCCCAGCACTTCCACTTTCCATGCCTATGCCAATACAAAAACATTCACACAATTGTTCATAGCAATTTGATTTGCAATGGCCAAACCTTTAAATAGATGAAATGCCCATCACCAGGAGGAATGAACTGCAGTATATGAACACAATGGAACTCTATACTGAAAAAAGAAAGAATATGGCCCTCCTGTGTGTGATGGGCCTAGCATCAGAGCCAGCCGTGAAAGAATACATTCTGCAGGATTCCATTCATTTAGTGACCTTCATCTGAAAACTTCATCTGATGCAAGGAGGGCTGGGAGCTGTGGGAGGGAGGGATGGGGCTTGGTCTCCAGCAAGAGGTGCTGATGCAAACATGCACACTCCAGATTTGCACACTGTGCTGTATGTTAGACTTTGATGAACCCATTTAGAGTGCTATTTTGCATGAGGAGTTATTATTATCAGTATTAGTTACATAAATGGCCTCATTCTGTAGGTGTTGTTTCTATAGCTATAGTTTTTCTCTTACACACAAGGACTATGGGGTTCTTTCCACATCAGCACTCACAGATCCTGCTCACTCCTCTGGTGGCTCCAAGTATGCAGTATCAGAAGCTACAGAATGTTCTCTCCCTTATTGATCATCAATTGATAAGGGATTGCTACAATTTCGCCACAGGAACAATGCTGCAGTGAGCCACCTCCTATCTTCCTCCCTGGGTAGAAACCAGGAAGCAGGAGTGCAAAATCTTCAGGTGCAAACATTTAAAATATTAACAGATATTGTCAGGTTCCAAAGTGACTGTCACCAACAATGCATGACCATGCCTGTTTGCATCCCTTGTTAATTATCTAACATTTGAATTGCTGGCAATGTAATGGGGAAATGACAACATTTTGCTGTTGCCTTGATTGTACTCTTCTCGAGGTAAAGAAGGTCTCAAAGTCTTACTACCATTTACTTTTCTCCCTTGTAAATTTTAAGTCTGTATCTCTTTTCTATTGGATTTTTGTTGCCCAGCAATTTCCCCTTCTCTCTTCTGGATCAGGAGCGGATCCTGATTCTCACAGATCTGTGTGTAAATACCAAGCTTATTCTATAATTTAGGCAAAGCACTGGACCACGGAACCTCTGTTTCCTCTTTCAAAAAATGGGGATATAGTACCCTTACCTTGAAAGGCCATATGAATATTATACAACATAAGAGAATAGTGCTAATATGATAAACATCCATCCAAGGAGACAGGTGAAACCATCAGAATCCACCCCATCCCCAGGGTAGCATGGGTTCCTTACCCCCAGCATGGGTGTGCTCCTTAGTGGTCCTGCATCCATTCAAGCAGAATGCCCAAGGGTCCCCTTTGTGCCGTGTGCTAAGGGTGTCACCTTTATCATTTAATTAATTTCGCACTCATTACTATACCCTCTTTACAGACAGGATCCAAGTTCCAAGGTTATACTAGGACACATAGCAAGCTGGCTCGATGCTTTGTGCTTAAGTGATCTGCTGCATGCTACTCCCAAGATAACTCTTGTAAGTAAAATTGTGGGGTCAAAGCTTCTTTACCCCAGTCCCTAGATGTAGCCCTCTCAGCTACCTCCAGCCTCCTGTACTAAACTAGACCCCACCCACAATCTGTGATTGCCTGTTTTCTTACATCTTCCCCAGCAGTGAGTATTATTTTTGTTTTATTTTTGTCAGCACAAGAGTGAAAAGGCTTTGCTTTAGTTAGTAGTTCTCAGGGTTTTTTAATACAGTATATTTAAACCTTTTCCTGTCTCCACTAGTGAGTTGCATCTTTTCTTTAGTTAAGTGCCCACAGCACCTGGGGCCAACAACCAGCATTCAACAGGCAGGTAAACCAGGCAGGTCTGACTTTGTAGCTCCACCCTCTTTAAACTTCCATCCTGTATCTATGAAACAGAAGCACAGTGACTCACTGGAGGTCACAAGAGACAGGGGAGCCAGGAGTGGATCTCATCCTTCTGACTCCGTGGCTGCTTCCATTGGTACAGCAGAGGTCTTTAGGCCTCGTAGTAATAATAAGAGCAACCGTGACTACTAATGACTAACAAAAGAAGTAACTGGGTTTCTGATCCTCAGTTTCTTCCTCCACAAAATTGGGTAATAAGAATATCTATGTCAGAGGATTCTGTAGAGGATTAAACCTATAAATCCTAGGACAACAAATGGTAGTGACCATTATATTATAAAGTATTAGTCTGAGGCCTGGTTGATTGGGTCCCAGTATTACAAACTTGATTATATTTTACATGGTCATTATCACTCCCAGAGATACACGAAGATGTACATATGAGGATAGTCACTGTAGCATTCTTTATAATCCCAAAGAACTGCAAACAAACCAAATCAGGAGGCAAGTGAGCTAAATGAATTATGGTGCATTTGAATACTGCAAGTAAAACAGGAATAAATTAGACCCATGTTTCCTGAAATGGAACAATGTCCAAGCTATACTTTCAAAGGGGGAAAGCAAGTGCAGAGGCATCATATCACCTAATTGTCTATATTTGTAGCCACACACGTAAGAAATTTGTTTGAAAGGACACAGGGGAAACTGTGAACTGGGGAGTCTAGGGCTGAAGAAGGATTTCCTTTATATTGTAGCTACCTTTTATAATGTCTGAGGGAAGTTTTCAACGCAGAGCATGCATTAATTTTATAACAAATGAAACGGCAGTACTCTACATCTTTATGGGGTTTGAGTTGCTCATAGGCATGCATTTGTTAGAACTCATTGAATGGTACATGTAAGATGTATGGCTTTCATTATGTGTAAATCTCACTTCAAAAGAAAAAGCTATAGACAAATATTGAATTCCAGACCATAATATTTACAGTTTACTTTGAAATGCATCAAAACCCAATTGGACAGATGGATGGATAAAGGGAGAGACAGAAAGACATGGATAAAGTGAGTTTAATAGTACATTAATCACAGAAGTTTTGGTGTTTATTGTTAATTCTTTCAATTTTCTGTATGTTTGAAATTGTTCATAATAAAATGTTAGAAAAAAGCAGGATTCAAATTGTATGTCAACTTGCTTATAAGTATATAAAAATTGTAGACATTCATAAAAACTGCTAGGAAATATGTAAATATGAAATTGCTAGAGTGCTGTGATTGCATTTTTTAAAATTCTATTTAATATCGCTACATTGTTTTATAGTAAAAGTGGAAATATATGGTATTTACTGGAATGATATGATGTAAACTGAAAGAGACTTACATTGTAACCCCCATGGCAAAGAGCTTCTCATACTCTGTTCTAGAAGAGTAGTTGGGAATGACCTGGAAAAGATGGACGCGAGTCCAGGGCTAAGGGCAGCACAGGGCCCTTGGAAATGATGGGTAGGCAGGTGTCAGGGACATCTGGTTTTCCCCACTGCCCCTGGGCCAACACTGCGCCCAGCTGCCCCAGGACCCACCATCCCATTGGTAATGACCAGCCTCGGGGCGCCAGGGCTGCTTGGGAAGAGGCCCAAAGGGTGTCCACTGTACATGACCAGTGTCTGCTCCTCTGTCATCTGCGACAAGTAAGACATCGTCAGCCAGAACTGCAGGGGAAAGCAAAACATGGAGGTCTCCGTAAGTGGGGAACCCACAGGGGGCCCCAAGGCACCTCCAGGCTCCAAGAGCTCCCCAGACCTCAGTGGTCCTGCTCAGCGCCCTGTCCCTCCAGGACTTCGTTATACTCTAGTGGCTCCTAGTCCCTCGAATTAGGCCACTCCTGCCCATAAAACCTTCCACATTCTCAACTTGGGTCCAGTGCTGTGATCTCAGGCATCAGGTAGGCAGAGACCTGAGTCCTAAGCCCTGAATTTGTAAACTCCTTCCAGGCTAGAGGACATGGTTGTGGAGAAGGCCTGACATTGGGGCTAGGCCTCATAGGCCAGCTTACCTGAGCCCAGTTGCTAAACACCTGTCCGTTTCCACCATAGGTCACAAGCTCCTGGGGAAACTGAAAAAGACAAAGTGTCATTTGTGATGGCAGCCTGGGAAGGGAGGGTGCCCACCTGTGCACTGGGCTCTATGGGGCCAGGTGGCCAAGGGTCCTTTGAGAAGGAGTGGTGGAGACAAGGGGAGAAGCCAGAGGGGTGTGGCCCACCTGTGACTGGGGTAAGGATTCAGCTTGGGGTAAGGGACAGCGCTAGGTGTGGGGTCACTTTGAGAACTCAGCCTGGGGTCAATGTCAGAGATACATTTGTGATCTGGTTTTAGGGCCAAGGCCAGAACTGAGGAAGCTCTCACCACTAGGCAGGGTGGTCAAATTCTAGGACCATATCACCCTCAAGTATAATACTTAAGAGATTCACCTCGCGAAGCCTATCCTTTCTCAAACATGGGATCTGATGTACAGATTGGCTCTCAAGGAGGCCCATGACAGGCACATGTGGCCATCCACTCATGGCTATTGAGCACTTGAATCGTGGTTTGTCTGACATGCTCTAAATATAAAACACATTCCAGATTTAGACTTAGAAAAATTTTAAAATAGCTCAATAATTTTTTATTGATTACATGTTAAAATGATAATATTTCAGATATATCGGGATAAACAAAATACAGTATGAAATCTTTTTTAATTTTTCATGTGGCTATTAGAAAAATTAAATTTACATGTGTTTCTACCATACCAATATTGATGTCCTGATGTTGGTGCTGTGCTATAGTTACTGGGAATCTATCATTATTTCTAAATAAAAAGCTTAAACACATTACATGTGTGTCTCACATTATAATTCTATTGGACAGCCCTGGTCCCTGTGCTTCAGTTTCCCTAGCCATTACCTGGGCCACGGCAGGATCCAGGTTGTTCATGATCATGTGCATGATGGCTGCTGCGGCTTTTGTCCGGCAGGGGTACTGCTTCATTGGGTAGGCCCTGCAAGGGGAATCCAGCTGCTAAGTATGACGATGGGAGGGCACACAGGTGTGAACAGTGAGACCCAACATCCTGCTGCATAAGTCACTTGGGAGCTCCCAGCAGGAATCAAAGCCAATTGGCTCTGGTGCTTTCCTTGTGCTTTGTGCCCCCCACCCTTCCAGGTACGGGGAGTTTGGTCCCTGCTCCACCCCACGCCACCCTTCCTCCCACCTCAGCAGGCTCCAACTGAGAGAATGCTGACTTTGAAACAAAACTAATGTCTACTTTCCAGAAATATCTACTTTGGGTGCAGTTTATTCTTTCCTTCACACTACCAGTGCTCCTGGGCTCCAATTCTATAGCAAGTTCAGGGCAGCAGGCCCCAATACGAATGAGGAGATGTGGTTCCTGCTTTACAGGGTTCAGGCCATTCCTCATCCCAGACAAGTCTGGGCTTTTGGCATATCCAAGAACAAGGATACTCCGTGCAGTATCTGGATGGGGCAGCAGCATCTGGGAACTGTGAAAGGCAGATCCTTCCTCCCCATTCTAGAACTGCTGACTGTGCAATGTGGGGTGAGGCCCAGCCATCCACAGTTTCACAAGGCCTCCAGTATCAATCACAATTCAGTGTCTGAACCTTGATGGGAAGCCTGAGCTATCTGAAGACACTGGCAGAGCATCCTCTAAACCTCTCCTTGCCCTCTGGCAAGACAACAAAACATGGGGTTTAGAAAGGGATTTTGCATACAGTTTGGCTTCAAAATTGCACAGGGCCCAGGACAGTGAGCCAGAGAGACCCATCTGATAAGGATCATTCCATCTTCTGGTCAGTCTTTTGGGCTTCAGCCAGCTCTAGATTGCAGACTCCCACAAGATGATAACACTGCCCACTACCTCTATCTACGTGAAGGACGACTCAGCATGCCACATCCATGGGCTTCCTAGTGTGGACAGGCTTAATTTCCCCTTCCCTGCTCACTGTGGGGTTCCTGACCTCCATCATGATCCATCCTACTTCCCTCCCTTCCCACTCTGGGCCTCCTTGAAGCTGGGCCTACCAGTACTCACCTCATTTCAATGCGGGGACAGAACCGGTACATATAGATGTGCCCATATAGCCGCAGCTCCTGCGCAAACTCAGGGGCCAGCAGCTCCTGCACATCCGGGGGGAAGTAGCGCAGGGCATTCCTCAGTGCCAGCTGCAGAAGGAGAGCAGTGAAGGGCAGCAGTGGCAGGAGCTCAGGGCCAAGCATCTTGTGGCTTCCATCATAGGCCATCCTTCCCCACTTGGATTTGCCCTTGCTTTACTCAGAAACCTATGGTTCCACCCAGAGACTGCTTAGTTTTTACCCTGGGCCCACTTACAGCGACATCTCCTGGATGGAGCCTTCCCAAGAAGACTTTCTCACTGAGGACCAGGCTGCTTAACTCTAGGCAAGGACCAGAATGGGTCTTGCCCTGAGGCTTGTGGCTACATGGGAGATGCAGAATCAAGAGGAGTGAGAATAGACCTATAAGCAGGAGTTCTTAGGCCCCTTGTACAAGTGCAGAGAAACACTCGCCACCACTGCCCACTTTAGCAAGTAACCTTAGGCTACACCTGCAGCTCTGGGACTGAGATGCTGCCAGATCTGGGAGGCCCAGGATGGAGCCTAAAGCCAGAGACAGAACAAACCTTCTAAGGGCTCATTATCCAACTAGGGAAAGCAGTCCAAACTCCCATGCCACCCCAATGTTATCACTCTTCTCCATATATTCCTGATGTTCCTGGTCCTACCTCAAGATCTTTGCACTTACATTCCCTCTGCCTAAACTCCCTTCCCCAATCTGCCTACTCTTGGAAGGTACCTCCCTTCATTCTAATTTCAGTCCGGTTGCCCACTCCTCAGAGGTCTGCCTGACATCGCCTTCTTAACTCCCAGCCTCTCTTCCCAACTTTGTTTCCTTCTGGAGCTTTTTTTTTTTTGTTTTTATCACAAAAACTCTGTGATTTGTTTGTTTCCTTCCTTGCTTATAATTTGTCTTGTTAAGATCAAGGAGGGCCAGAGTCCTGGCAGACTCTTTCATAGCTCTCTTCCTTCTGACACCCAGACTGGAGCCTGAGGGTAGAGACAGGCAAAGTGGGGGAGGTTACTAGGGTGACAGCCTGGTGTCTAGACAGACATTGAAGCGATTTATTCATCCAATGGCCATGGAAAACAAACCACTTTGTGGGCGAAGGGAGATGAGGATGTGGATGTGGTAAATTTATTCACTCATTCATTGAAAGCATGTCTACTGAGGGGAGAGGTGGTATGGACTTGAAAAAGAGAGGTGGCTTTGACACTAGAAGGCAGGAGGTAACAGGAGAAGAAACAAGGGCCTAGGAATGGGCCTAAGGACACCAACTTTTGGGCAGGAGCAAACGTACCAGCTAGGAAGATCTGGAGCTGGGAACCCAGCCAGGAGCACAGATGCTCTGGAGGCCAACGAAAGAGGTCTAGGGAAGAAAGGACAGTATGTCCAGTGTGCCCAGACATCAAACACAGTGGGCTAAGATGTGCCCTGGGGAATGAATGACAGGAGTGTCACTGGGGCCTCAGGGGTAGGTGGGGTGGGAGGGAGAGAAAGAAGGGGACAATTCAGGAGGGAACAGAGGGCCAGAGCAGGCAAGGGAGAAAATGCCAGTTCAAGCTATTTCGGAAACTTGAAGGTTTGTAGAGCCATTCCCTCATTTAATTTTCATGTGGAATAAAAGCACACAAAACCCTTCTTTCCTGGGGAAAAAAATGATCAGAAATATGAGTTTCTCCTAAACAGTGGCTAAGAATGTGCACCTACAGGAGTCTCTCAAGGCCAGCAGACATCACAATCACTCAGAGTGCTGGGCCCACCCCCCAAGCCTCCATCTGCATTTCTGACAAGGTTCCGGATGATGATACTGCTGGTCTGGGGACCCCACTCTCAGGACCACAGTGGGCAGTAAGGAGGATGATACAATCTAGCAGTTGGGATGACTCTGCCACCTTCATGTTGAGTGAAGAAGAGACACAGAAAATGTACTGCATAATGTACTTATCCTTGGACACAAAGTTCAAGAGCAGGTGTGGCTAAGATACGCTATGAAAAGTTAGGACAGTGGTCACCCCTCAAAGTCAGAGCTCATTCTCTCACCTGCGCACATGGTGTTTGGGCTACTTTCTGTGAGTTTTACACCTCAGCACAAAGGTTACTTTTTTATTTGGTTTTATTTTTTGTACTGGCACATGTCTTCTAATCAGAGCTTGCCAGAGAAAGTGAACATTAAGAAAAAAGCTTGAAAAGTAATATAAATTACACACACACACACCCCCCCCATGCACACACGCTCCACACAACACTTAACCTTACTACAAGGGTCCTAATATATTCTATCCTAGTCTAACTTCTTTTATTTAATTTTCTAATGAATATTGGTTGCAACCCCCGTGATTGACTTCACAACCTGCTAAGAGGTGGCAGCTGCAGTCTGAAACCATTGTATTCACTGTTCTCACAGAAATAAATGTAGGCTTCATTACTGGGGCTAAACTTGATATTTTACCAAGGTGCAAGAGAAGAAAGCAGGTTTAACTGTCAAATGCTTTTGCAAAATTTTGTTCCAATAATCAGGTAGCTCAAAAACACAACAAATGTTCCTGTCAAATTTAATGATTTTTAAATTGTGTCAGTTGATAGAAATGACTCAGCCATTCTATAAAATGTATTTAAAGACAATGAAATTCTATCTGTTCTAAAATGAAGTGTTCATGCATGTGTGCCATAAATGTAAAGAGAATTCTGTCAATTTCCCGAATCATAAATGCAGCACAAAAGCTATTTGCCTATTTTTTCCTTGTATAAGATTTCCATTTTATTACCATTCAATTTTTCATTATTATGTAATTTGGCCTAGATATTTCTTAATGTCAACTATTCTACATCAAGTTTTTTTTTCTTTCAAGGATAAACTATGTCTTTTTATCTGCAATTTCATGTTTGTACTTAGGAAAGTACAATGTCTGTAGTTCAGGAAAGTTGTCCTCTATTTCATTTTTGTTCGATAACTTTATTCACCATGTCTAGAGTTACATAACTGGCATGTGATAATTATTTTTTGAATGAAAAAATAAAAAAGCAGTAGCTCTGTTTGCTGGTCTGGATTCAATACTCCAAGTTTCTGGTAGATGATAGTTCTCAGCATTAAAATGAAAAATGGTGCTCAGACAGGTTATGTGAGTTACCCACAGTCCTGCAATAGGCCTAGACTGGCCTTGGGGGTAGCTCAGGTTCCCATGGATCCTGGAAACCTCAGTAGGGAAGGAGGCTTAGCAAGGACAGGCTGGGTGGAGTGATGGGGTCAGTCATTTCCTTATGAGCACAGGGCAGTAGGCACAGTTGAGTCTGGTCCTGGCCCTGCTAACTACTAGCTGTGTGGACTTGGGCAAGTCACCCCTGTCCCAGTTCCCTCATCTGTTAGCACGGCCTGTGCAGCTGCATAGGTGAAAGGATTGGTAGAGATAATGTGCTCTACCCAGCATACAGTGCCAGGCATCTACCCACCTGTTCTTTAAAAAACAAAGTCAGAACTGGGGGAGGATTTCTTGCTTCCTGCCCATCTTCACCTTTGCAACTTCCTTATTGCAGGTCTTCGGTTTAATATCAAGTGCCATAGTGGAGAGCCAGTAGGAGCCCTGCTTGGGAATTCACACACTCGGTGGTCAGCTGACATACTAATCACACAGTGCTACAGTAAGTTCTTCAGCTCTCCCCATCTCAGTCTACACCAGAGGGTATGCTATGCAGCACATAGATTAGCAGAGATGAATTTCCACTGGTGAGATTGGGGCCCATTAATGTGTAATACATGGGACAAGTGTGTTCTCATTAACAAAACCAGATGTATTCAAAACACATAAATTGGACAGAAGATTCTAGACACCCTGAACTCCCCAACTTGCCTAATAAGCTCAGTGACCTGTACTCTTAGGGGCAGAGAACTAATTCATAAAAGGTCTTGTGTTCAGCCATTAGATCAGAGGGTTCTGGGCATAGGTTGTCTTGGGGAACCAACTGAACTGACATGTCTAGAACAGTGTCTGGCACATATACATGCTGTGTGAGCCCCAGCTATCAGAATGATCATCTTGCATACTCAAGGCCCTCTGCACTGCCAGTTACTCCCTCCAGCCCACCTGCCCACCTCTAGCAACTCTGTAAAACTAATTCATAAAAGGTCTTGTGTTCAGCCATTAGATCAGAGGATTCTGGGCACAGAGGATTCTGTGGTATGCAGAATAATGTCCACATCCTAACCCTTGGAACCTGTGAACATGTTATATTACCTGGCAAATGAGACTTTACAAATAAGACTAATTTAATGCTTCGGAGATGGTAAAGCCTCCTGCATTATACACTGGCCCCAATGTAATCATAAGAGTTATTATAAGAAGCAAGCACGGGGGCAGAGTCAGAAATACAGATTTCAATTCGCTGTGCTGCTGGCTATGAGGATGGAGAAAGAGGTCATGAGCCAAGAAACACAGAAGTCCAGATGGTCTGGGTGCTCTAGAAGCTCAAGCAAGGAAACAGATTTCCCTTAGAGCCTCCAGTTGAACACAGCCATGCTGCATTTATTTTTTTAACTTGATATTTTATAATATGTGTAATGGTACTAAGAGTATACTTTGAACTTTTGAAACATGTAAACATATACCAGGACAATCTATGTCACATTTGTGCCCCCAAAATGAGAGTCATGATACTCAATAAAAGAGGAAAAAAACAAATATGATTCCAGTATCAGTGTATTTGCACTAATATTTCTCATTTTTAGCCCACTGAAACCCTTTCAGATTTCTTACACTCAGAGTTACAAAAGATTTGTTTTATCTTAAGCCACTATGTTTGCAGTGATTGGTTACAACAGCCCTAGGAATCTAAGAAGACAGAGACATAATCCTGTCTTGGACGTAATGCTACTTTTGCCTAGACCAAATCTTTCTTGCGGGACAGCTGACCACCTATAAGGATAACAGCCTATAACTCTGTTTGACCTATGCGTTACTTTTTTCATCTAACCTAGCAGTGATCCTATGGGGCAAACCTCACCTGCTTGGAAGTTTTTTACTTACAAATTCTGCCAAAATGATAGCCATGATCCAATTGGCTCAACCTTGTTTGAATCACCCCCATCCCTGCACCCTTCTAACCCAGCCGCATTTGGACCCTCAACCAACTCTGGCCCAAACGCGGGCCAGACTTCCTGGGTCCAAACTGTGGCTCAAGCTTTTCCAGCTCAGGGCATAAAGCCTCTCCATGGGCTGCTGCTTCTATGCGCCTCCTCTCCAGGCTGCAGTCTGCACCAGAGCATCTGCTATACAGCACATGCACATGTCCCCTCTCTGAGCTTCCAATGCCTCTCTGAAAAATCAGTGTGATGATAGCACACATCTCATAGGGTTGTCTTGGGGACCAACTGAACTGACATGCCGAGAACAGTGTCTGGCACATATACATGCCATGTGAGCCCCAGCTATCAGAATAATCATCTCACATTCTCAAGGCCCTCTGTGCTGCCAATTGTTCCCTCCAGCCCATCTGCCTCCTCTAGCAACTCTGTAGAAACCTCTACATTCTCTGGGAGGGTACAGAAACCTTCATAGGGTCCCCATTACTCACCTGATAAAGTCCACACTACTCTTGGCATTCTGGGTCCTCTATAATCAGGCTGGGCTTGGCTCTCTAATCTCTGCATTCGGTTCAGATTTACAAGGGGCCTCATCCAGTCCTAATATACTCTGGAAAGGTCGGCCTTTCCATCTTCACTCACTGCCTCCCATTGTCTCTAAAAGACCTTCTCAGATTTTCCAGCCTAAGGATCTTGTCTATGTTGCTACGACTGCCTCCTCCAAGAAGCCCAGCCGTGTTTCTCCTGCCTGCTTAACTCTTGTAGGATGTTTGTTTGGGTATTTAGCATATACTCTTGTCCACACATTCAACAAACAAACAATTTCTGGTGTCACTGAAGGCCTGAAATGAGCCCCAAAGAGCCCTACACTCAAGAAACTCAAGATAGTGTGTTAGTAGTGATAGGAACCTGGATACATGTGGGAGGTCTTCAGATCTGCTATCTGAAGCCCAGCAGAGCCCCTTTAGATAGGCATAATTTGGGGAAAAGGTCAGTAAGAGAAATTGCATATGGCGGGGGGAGGATGCTGAAGCCATTTTTAATACAGAAACTGGCCATAGTATATGACTAAATTTTCTCTGCACTGTAGTTGTACTGTGCTCATGCTGAGAATACAATGGCTAAGATGTTATACATAGAGCATACTCTATATTAAGCAGAGAAATCTACTTATAGAAGAACAAAGAGTGAAACACATTTTAGTTCATCCAAATGAAATACTATGAGTCAGTTAAAAGAATGGGGCAACTTTAAATACACCAATAATGAACAATCTCAAAAAAACTCCTAACATACATAAAATGCTTCCACTTATATTTTCAAGGGTTCACACATAAAATGTACCTAAAAGGATACACACACACACACACACACACACACACACACACACACACACATCAACAACAACAACAACAACCAAAAACAAATTGTGACTTGGGGAGGTGAAGTGGGAAACTTACACTTTCATATTTAACTTGTTTCTCTCATAAAACTACCTTTAAATTTTATATTAAAAGTCAAAGAAACAAGTTTAAATAAAAATATAGAAAACAAGCCAAAAGAAAAGTATATAGTGAGCTGCTGATGAAGCTGTTATTGGGTTTGGAAACTGCCTAGGAAAACATTCTTGTGTTGTTCCTCTATAAGAGAAACTGTTCTCACATAGAACCTTCTGTGACCAGATGTGCAAATTTTTCCCACACTGACTGTCTCTGACACCAGCTGGGTGTCCTACATTTCAGCTCAATTCTGACAATGTCTACGTGGAGTCAGTCCAGACTCCACAGGGTTAAGGGTTCAAGCCCACATGACTGTCCCTTCCCACACACACTTCAGATGTTTATTGCAAGTCCAGGTTGTCACCTAACATTTGACCAACCAGCCATAAATCGGGGTTCCCAAGACCCCTTCCAAGAGTTGGGTAATTTGCTAGGAGCGATTCACAGAACTCAGAGAAACACTATGTTTATTGGTTTATTATATTAAGAAAAGGAATATGATAAAGGACACAGATGAAAAACCAGATGAAAACACACAGAGGTCAAGGTCTGGGGAAGGGTTGCAGAGCTTCAGCATCCTCTCCAAACCATCCCCCCTCACTCCCCAGATAAGAGATTTTTATTGAGGCTTCAGCACATAGTTATGATTAAAATTATTAATTCATTCTCCAGTCCCTCTCCTCTCTCTGAACTATGTGGGGTAAGACCGAAAGTTCCAAACTTTTCTAATCATGGCCTGGTCTTTCTGGTCACCAGCGCTCATCCAGGAGCCTACCTACAGCGGCATCCTTAGAACAAAAGATGCTTCTAACTCCTATCACCTGGGAAATTCCAACTAATTTAGGAACTCTGTGTCAGAAACTGGGATCTAAACCCAAATATTAGCAGGATAGGGATAGGGAGGCAGATATAAATGCACATATATTTCTTAATACTTCACAGGCACCATCTGAAGGCTGACACACAGACAGATTTAGCCCCTTCGAAAGCTCAAACTCCCCAGACCAGCAAGTCACCCCTACTCAAGGGCTTCATGACCTTCAAGCAGATGGCAACATTCAGGCAAAGCTAAGGTAGCTCCTGCTCCTCTGGCTCCCTGGTGTCCTCCTCTCAGCGCAAGACACCATGGAAGCTTATTACTAGCATAAAACCATAAAAGTGTCATCTGAGATGTGCAGGTGGTGGAGTCCTTCAGTCCCTCTTAGTCAAAGGTCAAGGCACTGGCAGCCAGCAGGGAGGCAACTGAGTAGGAGAAAACATGAACCTTTGCTTTCACATAGCTGAGCTGGGCCAGATAGACCAAGCAACGGTGATGACAGATGGGGGGTGGGAGGGGCAAAGTTCCCTGCCCCTTGTTTCCCCAAGGCCTGCTCCTCTCAGCCCCACCTGCAACACCCCACCTCCAGTGCCCACCAGCCCTGGCTACTACCATTCCCCAGTGCCCCCCAGTGCCCCGTTTCCCCCTTTGTGGGAGGCACTCAGAAGAAAGTGGAGAGGGCAGTTCCCCTAAGGGTAGCAGTCTTCATTCAGGGTGTGGTGGTAGGATTTCTCTCTTAATCTTTGTGCTTAGGATTTTCTACTTTCAATCTACTGTTCCTGAAATTCCTGAGTAATTTTGAGTAAAGAAGACATAGGGGAAAATTATTTATATAACCATGTACTTTATTTGATCTGGTTTCCTTTACTACCCTGTGGTGTAATTATTTTCCTCCCCAGCTTACAGAGGAGACAAGTGGGATTCCCAGTCAGTGACTTGCCTGAAGTGCTGGCTGGAGGGACTGTGGGAGATCAAGTAGGGGTGCCTGGCCTCCCAGCCAGCTCTCACCAGTAACTTCCCCATAAATGAAAACAAGAGCTGACCTACTACAGGGTAAAACTTCAAAGTTACATGCGTGTCTGGCTCAGGAAGGTACATATTTTGTTGTTGTGTGTTTGGGGCACTTCACACTGGCTCCAGTCCTCCTTGGAATGGAGGCAGTCACGGCACCACCACTTATTAGCTGGGTGACCTTGAGCCTCAAGGTCCTTGTAAATGGGGACCATAATCCCACACCCAAGGGTGACCATTGGGGAGAGAGCGAGGAATATGGGATGTTATGGAGTCTGACACACATGGAGTCCCCTATCCCACTGGGATACCCCCACCCCACTGGGAGCTCTGGGAGACCTCGGGCCTCAGCTCCTTCAGAGAGAGTAGGAAATAGGGAATACCCACCAAGAACCACCCAGAGGGTAAAGGGTCACAGGAGGAATAGGGCTTAGCTTCTTACCTGCTCCTCTGCAGGGTTGAGGCCAGGGGTCCTGATAGGGGCATGGGGCACCCCAGCCCAGCGTCCCTGGTTCTCTGGGAGGGGACGCAGGGGCAGGCCAGAGCACAGCGCCTGGAGGCTAGACATGTCTGTCTGAGACCAAGGAAGAGGCTGGCTCAGTGGAGAAGTCAGAGAGAGACTGGGCAATCAAGGTCTAGCTGGGAGGGAAGCTCCAGCCCAAGCCACCTCCTCCAGCCCCTCATTGGTCCCAGGGCCTGTAGAAGCCATGTGTAGGTCATAGGGTCACTGGCCGCTAGGCTGATTAGAGGGGAGAGGGTCAGTGTTCTAGGGAGAGGCAGGCTTCATACAGGGGAGATGGCTAGGTACAGGTTCATTCGTCCTGTAGTGGGGCTTGAGAGGGTTGTGATTTTAGGATATGACTTTGGGGGCTAGTGGGGCTCTAATGGGTGTCATACCAGGGAGACAATTTTGGGGTTTGAGTCTTGATGATAGGGAGACATATGATACTGAACCTGGCACAGAGAGAGAATGTGTATATAAAACAGGCAGTGCCTCTTATACCCCTTCTCCCTGCCACCTGTTTGTGTGTGTGTGTGGAGGGGTGACAAATCTGGCAGTGGCCCACCCAGCAGCAGGTGTACCCTCCTTGGCTTCCATTCCAGTGCACGCTGTCTCATCCCTTTCCAAAGCTCTGAAGATGGCTCTCATCCCCAATCCCATTAATGACTCTGGGAGAAAGTGCTCCTCCTTAGTGCTGTGCTGTGGACAGGAAAGTAAGGCCCGGTCTCATTCACATAGCCAGGATATGAGTTTATTCGAATCTCGTTGGTCCTGGGAAGCAGCGCACCTGGGTGTGAACTTAGCTCAGCTCCTGACCAGTCCTGTGGCCTTGGGACTAGTCCCAATCTAAACAAATGGGTGGTAATTAACAACCCAAGCCGCGGGAGGTACGAATTGGTTATGTAAGCACCCAGCTCAGGGCCTGCACCAGAAGGTGAAAAGATCAGCTAACACCTTCCAAGTACTCACACTTCTGAGCACACCACGTGAGCCAGTTTACTTTGCCCTCCCATGGCCTGTGGGCTTCACTGTCCCATTTTATGGATGTGGAAACTGCAATCTAGAGAGGTGGTAGGATTTGTCCAAGGCCACACAGCTAGTAATGAGTAGAGCTAGGATTTAAACCCTTGCATCTCAGATCTGGCTGCAGCCCTTCTCTAGGCCTCTCCTACTCTGGCTGGCACAGTGAGCCTGTGGTTGTTGGGGTCCTCACCATCAAAGAGGCTGCTCTGAAGGGCAAGCAAGCAGAAATACGCTCTTGTTTGCTTCCCAGCATTCATCCATTCACTCTGTCTTTAAAATATGATTGACAGAGCACCTTCCTGTGCCAGGCACTGCTGATGTTCTCAGCAGTTCTTGGCTGCTCTTCACCCCACCCCTTGTGGCATGCGTTGTACACATCTTGACTGCCAGTGGCCAGCACTTGCATCTCTCTGTTGGAGGGATGCTTTTGGTGATTTAGGGCCTGCTTATCTATCTCAGAGTTGGGCTTGAAGGGCTAGAGAAAAAACAACCCTTCCCCAGCTGCTGAGGGAGTAGGCCGCAGTCAGTGACAGGGAAAAAGGGGGTAAGTGGATAAATATCCCAGTTCCCTTGGCTCTCCCCCGGGTGTGTAAGTGGGTGGGTGGTAAGTCTGGGGAGTGTTCTGTACTGTCTCCAGTCTCCCAGTAGGACTGGGCTGAGTCTCTCCACTCCCAGTACCACACCCTTGGCTGGTGACTTTCCCTTCCTGGCCCAACCTATTGAGTAAACAGCCTTCAACAAATTAGCTGTACTTAAACTTCCCCTCAGGACTTGCTTCTGGGGCGGCATTTTCATCTGATGGCTCAAGAGAAGCCAACAATCTAACAGTTCTTGTGAAATCTCCTGACTTTTAAATGTTTGCAACCAATGAAAAAAAAATTTTAGACTTTGTATTGAATAAGGTGAATGGAATGTATCAATGCCACTGTCTTGGCTGTGATACCGTACTATACAGTCTTAAGATGTTATCACTGGGGAAACAGTGCACATGGGATCTCTGTATTATTTCTTATAATTGCATGTTAATCTGTAAGTATTCCAAAATGAAGAGTTTAATTTTTTTAAAAATTGTACAAGCCATTTAAAAGAATGAGGATCTTACAGATGGTAACTCTGGCCAACTGGTAGGTTCAAACCCTGGCTATACCATTCACTCACTTGTGTGTCCATAGGTAAGTTACTTAGCCTATCTGCATTGGTTTCCTCATTTGCAAACTGAAAGCAAGAACAGTTCCTACCTCATGGTATGCATCTGAGGATTAAATGAGATAATATATGTGAAGATCAGAATAGTGACTGGCACAGAACAAGTACCAGATAAGAGTAAGGTATTGTTATTTTCTAATTGTTGCCACTATCAAAAAAGCAAGCAAGAGAAGTGCCTGTAGTACAAAATGTACAGGAAAGAAAAAAACTGTATATATATTTATCTCTGAGGGATACACAGGAACTGGAGAGAGATGAGGAGGGAAGATTTTCACTGTAAAACTCTTTGGTATTTTCAACATTGTCAATGTGTTAAATAACACAGAAATGTACATTTCAAAATTATTAATTTTGTTATGTGAATATGACCTCAATTAAAAAAACCTGCTGTTTTTAAAGTTTGAGCCTTGGATAAACCAAATAAACCTGTAAAACCAATAAATAAGGAAGGATTAAAGAAAGGCAGGCAGGCCAACCCCCAGTGCCCAGGACCCCAGGCTACTCAGATAACTGACCACTGAGCTCCAGTGTGAAAGGGCGTCCTCAAGGAAAGCCAGTGCAGGCCAGCCCAGTCCCAACTGCCCTTCATCTGCAGCAGGATGAGACCCCTAGTGGGAAGCACCCAACTAATCCCCTTTCCAATTCCTGACCCACAAAACTGTGAGCTAAATGTGAAAAGGTTGTTTTAAGCTGCTAAATTTTAGGGCAGTTTGTTACTTAGCAACAGCAGTGGATCTCTGCCTTAGGGCCCCCACAAAGGCCATTGCTCTGCCTGGAAAGCTCCTCGTTGCTGCCCCCATGTCTGCATGGTCCTCCTTGCCTGATTCACATCTCTGCTCAGTGTCACGTCCCTGAAGCCTGACACTACCACGCTGGTGTGTGCAACATACACACTTCCCATTCTTTTATTCTGCTTTTATTTCCTTCACAGTACCATTTACCACCTGTCATAATTTTATATATTTATTCTTATTTTCTATGCCCTCTCCCATATATCCTCTCTGCCCAAGGCAAGAGAGGTACCTGAAGAGCTACAAGAGAGTGTACCTGCCTTGTTCTCGACCCTGGAGCCTTAGCAGAGTGGGTATTCAATATCTGATGAATGAATGAATGAGTGAATACATATGAGCCCCTGTGAGAGGGCAGAGGCTGCAGAGGGCTTTTTCTTAGGTAAGCTACTTAGGCCCTGGGTTTCTGGCAGGGCATATTCACCCTCCTACCTTAAGACCCAAGACTAAGGCTCGACCAAGGCGTTCCAAGGAATTTTCTGGACAAGGATGGGCTGAGATGTTGTTCTGAACTTTGGCCACCAGGTGGCAGCCCAGGAAGCCAAGACTCTTGGTCTAAGGACCCCAGGGTCTGGGACTTCTTACAGGTAATGCCTGTCTAGGGGGAGGCTCAGGAATGCGGTTGTAGATTAGACTGGGGGCCTGCAGAGGGTGCGGATGATCTGGAATCCCTGGGTCCTGGGACCAGAGTAGTAGCAGCCCTGGAGGAGTTAGACACTCCCCAAGGCTCTCTCTGTCCAAGTCCCCTGGAAAGCCATAATAAAGAACTTCTGTATTTATTTGAGAGCTGGATTTCCCATCCCTCTGAGATTTGAGACCTATCATCACCGTTTGGTGCCATATCTTTAAGCCAGAAAAAACAAACAAACAAACAAAAAACCCTACTATTTACTTGACGAACTTCCTTAAATAGACCTTTAAAACTTAAATAAAGGTAATAGGAAGGAATTTTTATATCACCACTGTAACTTGTCAGAAACAGGCAGTAACTATAAAAGTTAATAATCCCTAAGATAGAGTACTTAGAAGGCACTCACTGAGTGCCAGATGTTGTTCCAAATATGTCCTATATCTCATTTAGTCCTTACAAGACCGCGAGATGTGTCCTAGTACTATCCCACTGTACAGGGAACTGGGGTAATAACAGAGAGGTTATTAGGCTATTTTCCTCATCTCACACAGACCCAGCAGGGTTTGGAATTACCAGATTTTTCAAGAGCTGTTTAAAAACTGGATTTTACTGAAGCAATCTTTCCCACACACTCACATGGCTAAGTTTTGGCTCAAGTGCACATGGACATATATGTGCACATAGCACCAGCTGCAGCTTCCTGTCCCATGTTAGCCTGCCCTCTGGGCAGCAAGACCCTGGGGTCAGTCCTGGTCTCCTCACCCCACAAGGCTAGCTGGATGGCTAGCCTTTCCAGAGCTGGACTTTACTCTCATCTTCTGACACACAGGAGCCCTCAGCTCTGAGGAGTTCTGAGTGCTCACCGGGAGTCAGGAGCAGTTGTGAATGACCAAGTGAGGCACAACAGTCCTGTTGCCCACGGGAGACATGAACTGAGACGTGAACCTCTCCTTCCCAAGTCTGGTTGGGACCTGTAAGAGCCAGAATCCAGGCAAGACCTGGAGACACCTGTGGAAAACAAGGCTACATGGTGGCCTTGGGGGGAAGGAAAGGACATACTTAGGTCTGATCCTGGGAATGGGGGCTCCGGGGTAGTCCTTTACAGTGCCTGGCCTGTACAGCTAAAAGAGGGACGACAGAGCTCCCTCCACCTAGGCTTCATTGTTCGCACCCTGGACGGCTGCCTTACTTGATTGTGTGTGGGAGGGTGGAGACTAGACAAAGCCCGCCGATCCGCCCTCGCCCACCTCTCCAGTCTCCAGAGCGTAGCGCCGCATCGCCGCTGCCCCTGAGACCCTCGCGACTCCCGCGAAAAGGCCCTCTCACCCCTGCGCCGCGCGATTTGGTACGGGCCGCCTGGAGGGCGGGGAGGCTCTTGGGCCGGCGCCACCGCCCCTCCGGACACCCGGACTGCTGCGCTGCGCGCTGACACAGGATGGGCAGGCACTGCTGGCGGCGGCTAGTGCTGGTGGCTGCATGTCTG